TGTACTTTAGAAGTTTCAAGTACCCACGAATAGTATTATACACTCACAACAAAATAACTAAAATAGGTATGATAGGTTTTTGATTATGTAATTTCGTCCCAAATTTGAACTTAAAATGTCTTTAAAAAATAACTGTGCTCATATATTTTTTAGATTTTTTGGCTACAGTATGAACTATTTATGAGAATCTTTTTTTTAAATTTTCAATCCTTAGCTATAAAAACTGAACATTTTATAATTTATTAATTACGATGATTGATAATTTTCGAGATTTTGATAAATTTTGTCAAAATGCGATCTTTAAATGCTTATAAAAAAAATTGTGCCTATGTATTTTTAATATTTTTCAATTAATATTGTAACAATATATCAGGAGCCTTGTATTAATTTTTCACACTTTTTGGCCCAACAGATAAAACTTTATTAATATTTAAAGAAAAAAAAAACTAAAAAAATTGAAAACTGAAAATGTCCGTAAACGGCTCAAAAAGAGTCAAAATATTTTGAAAATTGTATGGTGTATAGGAAATGCTAATATAAACATTCAGTGAAACTGTCATGTATCTACAGTAATTCGTTTTTGAATTACAATAAATAAGGAAATCGCCACATGATAAATCGAGTGCATATCCAATGTTGTAAGAATTTGAATTTCAAACGCTCATAAAAATTTAATTTGACTTTCTTATAAAATTTTTTTTTTGATAAATGTAGGAAATCTCATAAGGAATCTTGTATTACATTTTCATATCTTAGATTTAAAAAGAAAAATTTTTATGAATTCTAACTCGAAATAATTTGCAAATTTTCGTGATTTTTCCATATTTTGTCATTTTTTGAACTTTAAATGCTTAAAAAAAAAAACTGTGACTAACGATTTTTAATATTTTTCATCTGTCTTTGAAACAATATAGTAGGAGCCTTGTATTAAATTTTCAAGTATTTTTACTCAACAAATAAATCTTTATTGATATTCATAAAAAAAAAACTAATAAAATTGGAAACTGAAAATGTCCCTAAACAGTTCAATATAAATCAAAATATTTTGAAAATGTTATCGTGTATTGAAAATGCAAATATAAACAACCAGTGAAAATTTCATGTATCTACGGTCATTTGTTTTAAAGTTACACAAAAAACCAATTTCAAATTCCCGTTTTTCTTAATTTTTCTTTTGTTTTTCTTGGCGCTTTTGAAAATTACTGGGAATTTTAAACTTGGACCTCCCTAATGCACCATCGATATTCACTTTCCAATCGAACAAGATACTGAAGATGAAAATCGAAGCATTATTTCGACTACTTATCGTGTACACAGACACAAAAAAAATAAAAATGTTACTAATTTCATTAAGTTAGTTTTATAAAATTATTGAGTATTGGCATTAGAGTTATTTTAATATTATCAATTCATAAACTTATGCAACAAGTCAACTTACTCAGAATTTCCATACTTAGTTGAACATTTAAATGAGTGATTTCTCAGTTATTTTATTGTATATATTAAGGATAATTATAGTCCTTAAAAATTACTTTACAAAAATATACATTTTTAAATTACCATAGCCTCTATAATATTTTACATAATAATATAATATACCCATTATCGTTGGCCTCTAGTTGTTATTATCCTTAATGGCTTAATCCTTAGTACACAAAGTTAAAAAACTCAAAAACTACTTGTTTGAATTTTGATCTTAATACGTCAAAGTTTTAAAAAAAAATGTACACAGAATTATTTGCAGTAGAAAATAGCGGTTCTTATTTGAAAAACAGAAGATTTTATCACCACAGGACGCATGTAGTACAGATAATCTGAATAAACTCTTTTATAAAGAAAAAATGCACTGTGAATCGCCCTTATATAGTTTGTGCCAAAATAAGTGCGACAAAGTCGCCAATGCAAAATTATAAGCAAGTCCAATATAAGTATTGTGCCAACATAAATATTTCATGATTTAAAGAATATAAATAGCGTAAGTACACAGTTATAAAAGTTGTATGGAAAAAAATCGCATAATATTATATTAAGCCAATAAACAAACCATTTTTTTTATAAATTACTTCCAATTAGAGTAGGTACCTAGTACCTACTATAAAACGTCAATAAATATTAAGAACGATTTCAAATAATACTAACTTAATAATATATTAAAACTATAAACTTATAATACATTTGTGTATTATTGTATTAAGCTAGTACGTTATGAAACGGTACCTACAGTTTTAAACAGAGTATCTGAATTAAAACATTAATTATGTACTTATTTGTTATTTTGGCTCTCATATGATATGAGATACGAGCTTAGCTCAGTTGGTATACGTATCAGCTCTTAATTTTATTATAGATTTTATTGTATTATAATTGAATTACGCTGAAATAAATAAATTAATTAATAAATACATAAAATATACGATTTCTACTTCTTATTTCCTTCTTTACTTGTTCTGGAGCTTTTTCAACCGGCTCCGATTATTTCGGGGATATGTGAATATTTAACGTATATTTTTAATTTAATTATTTTGTCGGTTTGATTTTTAGTGCTTAGAAAATGTATTGAGTACATTTGAAAAACTAACTTTTCAGTTAGTAATTTGCTTGTTACTTAACTCTAATGACTAATTGTGAATGCGTTTTTGATCACGATTACAATAACAGTTTTATATCTTGTACTAAGTTTGTTGTAATCTCAACTGTAGATAAGCATAATATTACGATATTGAACTGCGATTTAGCAGTATTATATTGTACCTGTAACGGTATTTATTTAGTTGTTTTACATTTTCATTTAAGTTTTTGAATTAAGTACCTACTTTATAAAACAAATATTATATTATATTATATGAATACATTATTTACCGGTTTTTAATATAGAATTGAGATAAATAAATAATATTATGTTCTAAGGTTATGTGCATATAATATATATTTTTAACTCTTAAACACTAAACATCACCTAAAAAACTAGAATATCTGATAGGCTTTTCATAAGTTCATAACTATATATTAAAAATCATCATTATACGCGTATTGTATATTATAATATTTATTTATTGAAATATATTGTCACGGGAAAATGCCCAATTACGGAATAAAATAACAGTGAATATAGGTACGATACACAATTATTTTATAACAAGAAACATAATATTACTACCTATAATGACTAAAAATTAAAATTAAATAACAATAAATCCAGATCAGAATATAATAATATATATTTTCCACGGTGCAGGCTTTGTACAATAGTTACAGGGCACAATATTAATAGTAAAAAAAAAAAAAAATAATAATAATAGTAATAATAATAAACAAAAGCAGTTATGTTTTTGTTCGTTTAGGATTTTGAGACTTGTGTGCGATTACATAATACCATTTTATACGACACACTCACATATTATTATTATTATTATTATTATTATTATTATAGACGTCGAGGCGGAGGAGGAGTCGATGTGGTGTTACGCGTGCGCTCTGTATATATATCACAGACGGCGGACTACCGACCGGCAGACGGTTAGTGACATCCGAACGGTCAACGGACGAGGTTCAACTCCGACAAGCGTGTCCGATGTGTTTACGTCTTGGACCTAACTGAATAATAATAATTCGTCCACCGCGGAATAACAGTACCGCATAGGTACACAAACCGCGACCGGCTGAGCAACGATCAACATCAATAGACACGTCGTCACTAACAGGTATGTGAGTTGGAATTCAGTACGTATATAATACGATATTTGCATAATTCCTACGTATTAGGTACCCACCTAATAGTATATACCGTAACGTGCACAGTTGACGAATCGATTTTCACACGTTTGTATTGTTCTGAGTCGAAATTCAGTCGACAGATGATGATATGTAATATTACAGACGAAAAATATAGGTACATCTACCTACTGATTATACAAACGACATTCATGACCGACGACCGTCGCAAGACAAATTTTAACGACGGCTTAGTTTGATAAATTTCTATTAAACCGTACCTATACTTACATTGTTTTCGAATGATAAAACGCTGTCCTAAAGGTATGTCAAGCTTTTTTTACAAGCATAATACTATATCAGATGACAAACTTTTTTTTACTGTCATAACTTATATATTCTTTTGGTTTTATTTTTACGATTTATTATAAAATATCTACTGCTCGAAATATTACGAACTAACCAACTTTTATTCTTCTTAATTTTGAGCCTACAACAACTGAGGCTATCTGCTTAACCATAACTACTTCACTGTATCTTCACATAACATAACCTAACCTAACCTAACATGGTCTTGTAACATTACAAGTGGGACAATCATCGTTTATTATACACAGCGCGCTCTATGCACTGTTCAAGTTATGACTGAACTCTACAGAAGTTCAAGCCACGTTAAACACCGTGCGTTCAAATCTCTCGAAGCCGAACTAGACAACTGCCGTTCTGCAAAAGCGTATACTTATACCTAACCTGCAGTGCATTGCAGACAGGTGACAATAGTTTGAAAGATTGAATCTAATACGACTATACTACTATATTATGATTATTTTATGTTAAACGAAAACACGATATATATCAACTATTATTCGTCTGCATGTGCCTACTCATCTGATAAGTATCATCAGTCATCACTGATTGTAACAGAAGTTGATATTATGACTAAAATATTAGATATATAAAAGGTGCTGTTAATTTATTGATTTTCATATCACTAAATTTCATTCTGGATTAAAAATAAGTGTGATAAAAACTGGATTCAAGATATTACCAAAATACGAATTTTTACTTTGAAAATAACAGTTTTTTTCACGTATAATATATACCAATATAATAGTATAGACGTATAGTATTGGAAAGGGTAGGTAAAAAGGATAAAAACTTTATTTTCCATTATAAAATTTGTTTTTATGATATATTTTTGGCAAATATTATTTACATCTACAGCCCCGTGTATGACATTAATTTTATGTATTTTCAGAGGCGATAGCGACAACAGCGCAAGAACTGCGATGGAGACGAGCCACGGCCGAACGATGCGCTCGTTGGCTGTACTGATGTTCGTGTTGGCATCGGCCACGTGCCAGCAGACCATGTCGTTTCCAGACAGCGAGGGCAAAAGCGGCGCCGGAGTCGCGGACAACGGGACGGAATCGGGCGCCGGCCCGGGGAACAGGAGCGGCAAGAACCTGTTCAACTGGTTGGGTAGTTTCTCGGACGAGGGTGCTGACCCGTACTTGTCGTCGGCCAACGGTGCGTGTCTGCAGGGCGACATGGCCGAGTGTTTCAAGGCCCGCGCCCTGTCCGGCCTGGGCGACTTCTTCGTCCGGGACGCGTACCGGCTGAACGAGAACGTGCGAGTGGTACGCCTGCGGGACGAAGACGACGACGGCGGCCGTCACGCGTCCAGGGCGTTCGAGTTCTCGTCGGAACAGCGGCCCGAGGACACCGAGTGGGACAGGCTGGTGAAGTTCGCCACCCGCAAGGCCGAGAGGTTCCTGCGATCGGCCGCCGTCGAGGTGCACGTGCCCGACGAGCTGACGGAGGGCGGCCGGTACTCGCCCAGGTTCATCGACGAGATATCCTCCGAGCTGGACACGCTAGAGGACAAGAAGGCCAGCGTCATAAGTGAGTACTTAAATGTTTTCAAGTCGAGTATATTTTAATGGGGTAGCTTGAGATACGGTGTTTATTTATAAAAATCGTTTTACAGTTTGTAAATCGTAAAAATAAATTAAAAACCGTTCTCGCTTTTGATTTTGGTATACATATATTGAAAGAGATTAATCCGTTTCGTATAAAAATGACGTGACCAACATCTACCGTCAAGACGAATTTCTTTATCGTTCGCGAACTGTTCGCGTCCAGCGCTGCAATGGTCAACAAATCACGAGGACCGCGAGACCATAACCGGAAGTGATACCTAGCCGTGTCGGAACAAATTTAACATTAAGTCAAGCGGTGGCACGATAAACGGTTATACTAGTATAATATTTTAGCTAATTTTCTGGACCAGAACAATCGCGGCGTAGGCTCATTATAACATAATAACAATAAGTGTAATATAATGATACGAAACAGTACAACGAATGTTGCAATGTTCGGCCCGCGCGCGCGTGTACCACTTAAACACTACGAATGTATAGGACTTCAATAATTCATAACGTCCGGTGACGTATCCGTAGTAAAATTGTTTTACCGAGCAAGTCGTTTCATGTTATTTACTTAAATATAATCCAACTAGGTAGGGGGGGGGGGTTGTTAATTTTCAAACAAATTGTACTCCATCACGATATTGCACCGATTAACATATTATTATGAGTCGAATACGATTTTAATGATCATCGTTGTAACAATGTAGTGTTATAATAATTAGGTATCCACAAATGTGTTATATTTATTATATAATATTAGTAGCTGCATAAACTGGCTTCGTGGGGAAAAAATTAACAAACATCGGTATTAGTGTATCTCAGTTCACGGGCAAAATGCCAATAAATAGCATCGGTTTACCTCACTTTGTTCGACTAATTTGACTGTCAGTGGTGGATTGGATAGTGCGCTCACTTGGTATATTTTTGAAAGTGGTGACACGCCTTAACTTAACGTATACGAATTATATATTATATATATTTTATAATTTTTAAAAAGTCGTCAGATTTGGGCGAGCTTGCCAAAAAATCGAATTTCAATACGAAGCGACATCGGGTGTCGAGATTAGATTGCCAATAGTTTTGATTACTCTATTTACAATACATATAGGAATACTTAAAGTTTAAACATATTCTCGGCCGTCAGTGTCTCGTGAAACGACAAATGTCAGTAATTTTCCCATCGATTTCTAAAATTACAGTTGTTATTTTAATATCACATATTATACATTTAGTATGTCACACTGCTAGAAGTTTTTATTCGATTTTTCACAGACGCGCGTTCGGTTTGTCGTAGGTTACCGTTCGGTCGGTATAATCGTCAACCAATAGACTGTCCTGCACGTGCACACAATAATCAACGCACAATCGCTCACGTATTATGTATTCGGAAGATATAAAGTGTGTACGATGCACTTTCTCCCCAAACAATCCATCCTGCCTATGAACAGTATTTCGCCTTAATTCTCTTATCGGTAACTAGACTTTTCTATCTCGTGGAAGACATCAGGAATTTTTAAAAATTTAAACTATTATTTTAAGAGCGCACCGTTGTTCTACATTCTTCTATGATAATTATCAAATCTTTGTTATTTATAACAAATTAGCATTTATTTCCAATACATACCTCTTGAGATATCGCCTGGTTATCGATAAAAAAAAATATAAATCCTTCCGTCCATCGTACAGTGTATTGCATCTTATCTTCAGAGCGTATAATATCATTTCCGATTTCACATTAATGTTGTTATTCGGGCTCCAAGGAACTGGTTATAATAATATGGAAACGAAAAAACAAATCGTTCATGTACGCTTGTGCAGTGCACAGCTGTTATCATGTGGGTATAAACTATGAGAGGTCACTCTTCGCTTTCGAACGTTCCGGCAATAGGGCCACGTTACGATAATAGGTAGTAATATTATTATTATGAACTAATTTATTGAACTCGTTGAAAAATAATCCGCCAAAAATCTGTATTATTTTTATTTTCCGTTTCCCATTCGCGTATAAAGACGTCTCTCGTATATTCAATGCTAATGTTATCATAATATTGTAAATTTTAGTATTGTGTATATTATATTACTATAATTTAATAATCACCTGGACACTACTACCACCGATCATTATGCTGTCGGTGCACCAGGAAATATTAGCATCGCCGATATAGTTCGTCAGCATTCGTTCATCGGCTGCGGTACACTTTCTAAATCTTTGCACTCGGCGAAATGTACTTATACTCCCGCATATTACAAAAGTGGACCCCAGACAAATGTGTAATCGACAATATTCGCGGATCGCAAGTATTATACTATATTATGTATACGGCTGTGGGTCGCGGGTACAGCTGTGCTGTGTATAATGTGTGAGGACTTCCGCCTCTCGCGGTCGTAAAATAATATATTATTGTGTTGTTGATCGTCGTCACGATTCCGGGTCGGTGTTCGACGCAAAATACGTTTAATAGTAATATATTTCAACAACACGGCGCACTTCCTCGTCGTGTTTTTTGTGACACTCGCAATGGCGTAACGACTATACATATTATTATTATATACAAAGAAAAAAATATGACGCCCACGATTATAATATTATTACGACGACGACAGACCCGACGAAAACGAAAGCATGCACAAAAGGTTCGACTTTTCAGCAGTGAATGGGCGCTAACATAATATAGGTACCTAATCGCGACTAGAAACGGACCGATTTATTTATTTTTACCTTCGTCGTTTTCCCGAAACCGAAAGCGTCGCATTACGACGTTAGGCATGCTTATTAGTAAGTAGTACATATGCAATATTATTATGCAGATATTGTCTCGATTGTGACTGCCTTGTCTACCTCGGTTATGTTATTCAAATGTTACCAGTTACGTCGTGACGGCTGCTCCAGCTGCAATGCTTTCCGACTTCCGATCGTGTGTATAATGATATCATTATTATTGTTAGGTACCTATTGAAACGGATATAATTGATTACGAGTGCTTCTCGTTGACTTCAACACACGTTATTATGATGATTTGAATGTACACTGTTATGTAAAAAGTGTTTCACACATAATTAATAGAAAATAACCGATTGTGTATAATATCGTTCACATATTATATTATATTGTTATTAGTTACGAGGATTCTATATTTTTATGTCATCAATATTCCGAAATATCTTTCAGTTATTTTAGATTCTGAGTGGAACGATGAATGTATTGATTTTACAATTATGTGTGTTTTTTTATATTTTTTATTTTTTATTTTTGTGTCTGTGAACACGAAAGTAGTCGAAATAATGCTTCAATTTTCAACTTCAGTATATTGTTCGATTGGAAAGTGAATATCGTTGGTGCATTGGGGAGGTCCAAGTTTAAAATTCCCAGTAATTTTCAAAAGCGCCAAGAAAAATAAAAGAAAAATTAAGGAAAAACGGGAATTTTTACGCAAAATCGATTTTTCACAAAATTGAATTTGGTTTTTTGTGTAACTTTAAAACAAATGACTGTAGATACATGAAATTTTCACTGGTTGTTTATATTTGCATTTTCAAAATATTTTGATCTATTTTGAACTGTTTAGGGAAATTTTCATTTTCCATTTGTTTTTAGTGTTTTTTCTAAAAATATCAATAAAATTTAATTTGTTGGTTAAAAATGCTTAAAAATTTAATAGAAGGCTCCTAGGTTATTGTTTCAAAGGCAGATGAAAAATATTAAAAATTTTTAGTCACAGTTTTTTTTTTATAAGCATTTACAGTTCACAAATTGACAAAATATAGAAAAATCACGAAAATTAGCAAATTATTTTGAGTTAAGAATTCGTAAAAATTTTTCACTTTAAATCAAAGATATGAAAATTTAATACAAGATTCCTTATAAGTTAGTCTACTTTTATCCAAAAAAAAATGTCCTTAAGAAAGTCAAACTAAATTTTTATGAGCGTTTGAAAATCAAATTTTTACAACAATGGATATTCACTAGATTTCTCATGTAGCGATTTAATTATTTTGTTGTAATTCAAAAACAAATAATTATAAATACACGAACATTTCATTGAATGTTTATTTTAGCATTTCCTATACACTGTACAATTTTGAAAATATTTTGACTCTTTTTGAGCTGTTTACGGACATTTTCAGTTTTCAATTTTTTTAGATTTTTGATGTTTTTTAGTTTTTTTTTTCTATAAATACCAATAAAGTTTTATCTGTTGGGCCAAAAAGTGTAAAAGTTTAATACAATGCTCTTGGTATATTCAATATTGTTACAATAGCAATTGAAAAATATTAAAAATACAAAGTCACAATTTTTATTATAAGCATTTAAAGTTCGAATTTTGACAAAATTGATGATCAAAATCTCGAAAATTATCAATCATTGTAATTAATAAATTATAAAATGTTCAGTTTTTATACCTAAAAATTTAAAATTTAAAACAAGATTCCACGTAAGTAGTTAGTTCTGTTACCAAAAAATCTAAAAAATACAGAAGGACAGTTTATTTTTATAGTCATTTTAAGTTCAAATTTGGACGAAATTACATAATAAAAAACCTAGAATAACTATATTAGTTATTTTGTTGTGATTGTATAATATTATTCGTGGGTACTTGAAACTTCTAAAGTATACTACTATATATCTATAATAATATCAGGGTTTGTTGTTGGTGTATAACGCGTTATAAGTACCTAATAATGGATATTGTGATATGATTAATTTGGAATTTATTATAGGTACCTATTATAAGTCAATTTTTTTTTAATACCATAGATATGTATATAATATGTCTTAAACCTAGACTGGCATACCATCTCTGCTCAGAATAGTTTTTCTTATACAATGATTTTGTATCATTGAATTCATCCATCATACAGTGACCCACTTGTAACCTACAGTACAGCAGAGCACCTTTTTTAAATTGAACGTCATTGACTTTTAATAATACTATCCTATATTATAGAGAACTAAATTAGTTCTAAAAAACTGCTTCATTTTATTTGAAAGCCATAATATTAATGACTTATGGTTTATGTTCAATACTATTACGATAACACGGCGTTTTGGGTAGGCTATTCAGCTACATCATTGCCGTGGATTTAATTTTTCGATAATAATATATTATTATATTCTTTGAGTTAAAATTAACTTAATATAATATTATAGAAATATTAGACGCTGCGCTTACTATAATATTTATGGTTATATTATATTATTTAATATTTATATTACAAAAGTCCAGGGTTTTTTTTTTAAATTATAATTTTAAGCTAATTTTCTGATCGCATTAAGAGATAAAACAAACAAATAATTATGTCAACAAAATAAAACTATAAGTTTTGCACATTCTGGCATTATCAAATTATAATCATAACCATTTTCGTGTTTCAGCTAAAAAGAAAGTGAAGAAGCTACTGATCCCCCTGCTGATCGTACTTAAGCTGTTCAAATTGAAACTCCTGCTTTTCCTGCCGCTCATCCTGGGTCTGGCGTCGTTCAAGAAGGTGCTTGGCTTCCTGGCACTGGTCGTTCCCGGTCTCATCGGGTTCTTCAAACTGTGCAAGCCTGACCTTCAGCACAACTACGGCACGTTTGGGCACAGCAGCTACTATCACAGGCCGTCCAACGGCGGTGGACCTCTACCCCAGTCCGGACCCGTGTACTCGCCGTACCGCGAACACCAGGAACCTCAGTACCACCGTGAACACTTGGAACAACCACAGTACCACCGTGAACATCCGGTAGATCCGCAACAGTACCTGTACGAGTCAGCCGACGCGCAGCCGTACAACAGCCGGCCAGCCCGGAACCAGCAGGACGCCAAGGTACCGTCTTCCGGTTCAGTCGCGTTTAAGGAAGAGGCCAACGACATGGCGTACAACGGTTACAACAGGCAGCAGCGGCGATAAAACCATACAAATATAATATTGTATCCGTGGCCACTGCACCGTCCTCGTTATCGCAGGCTATTATTCCATATGTACATAGATCACTCGATCCTCTCAAACCACTTCACTGTCGCGCCATCTATATCGTCACTCTGTACTCAAGCAAATCTACAACTCTCCTCTGCTGTGTAAAAACATAATATTATTATATATTGTACGACGCCCTGACATCGCGATATTTATAATATTTCCTACTAGACATCGGGGAATTTCGAATTTTGCCACTATATATATTTTTATTCTCGCGTCTACAGGCTCGATTTACTATTTTTACTACGAGTCGATTTGCGTCGAGACGATTTTTAGAAGTCGTGCGCGGTTTCAATACGCAATACCAATACTCGTAGTTCCTCGTAATCGAGACGAGATAAATATATTTCACTGTTTGCTGTGACAGTCGTGGTATATCATATCAACTATAATAATTAGTATAATTAAAACATAATTATTATTATAAGCCTTAATATTATTTTTTTTTATATATTTTTGCGCAGTGTGACAACAGTGGGTGATATTTTATATAATTTAATTAGATTTTGTATTTTATTGTAAATGTATATATATTTTTGTAATTATGTAACCAGAATATAATATTTTCACTACCATAAAACCCAATTGATTCAAGTATAATAATAATAATTAATAATATATGTAATGTAGCACACGTTATTGTGTCAACTATATACTATTAAAAAGTATAAACTATATAAACATGCTGCATCTTTATATTTATAGGCTTATTGATGGAGTTTGAACTAGAATGGCGTCACTGGCCATTAAAAGATGCCAATACTAAATGTAATTTAGTACCTACGGTAAATCTACTTGTATCTAGTTTATAAGATCGATGATGACAATTTGAAAACAATTTCTTTATTTCTTACGATTTAATTGAATGTCTAATGGATTTCTGATTAAGTATGTTTATTTAGCTTACCCAATACATACATTAATATTGAAAATGAGTAAAAATGTAGCAAACACTTAAAAAATATTAGAAAATTGGTTTTAAAAGTAGCCAAACTGTTTCAAAATATTATACATTTTATAGAAATATCATAATCCTAGGGTTTTTTTGTTTAAGTCGTAATTTGATCTGATTCGAGCCTTTTTTAATCCTATCACAAAAAAGTAAAACTTAACACCTACTGTTTTAAATTAATTCCCTATAGATAAATTCTAAGCGAATCTTTGACTACAATGCTTAAATTTGTATATAGCTGATGTCTTATATAATATTAACTTTTTAAATACCCTTTTTCTGCAAAATTCTGACTAGGTAGTTACCAACGGTACCGTATTAATGTCAAATTTCGATCTTAGAATACGCCATGCAGATTAAAACTATTTTACATATTTTTCACTCTGGCCAAATATACTTGAAGTTTTTTTTTTGTCACGAATCACAGCCCACAGGTACCGCAATACACTTCGAGCGGAGCTGGTGAATAATCTTCCACGACCGTTAATAAGCATTATAAACATTATACAAATTGTAAATGCTTATTATTGTTGTTTCGTGCACCTAGCCATGTGCCATCTCATATTATTCATTGTTATGAAATTTTTATTATTTCTATGCTAAAATTATTCTTCTTTACCTTGTAAAATATAAAACCACGTTTAAACGTTTTTTACCCTGCAACTTTATCCTATTATTATTTAACTATCACTTAAAGTGTCACCTTAAATCCCTTATTATTAATATTATTTTATGATAAATCTTTAGTGTTCAATCGCTAATGCGTGCGTATCAAAGCCTACGAGTTCCACCGACCTAAGTCTTCGGATTTCCAAGCTGTGCGGCTCGTAGGTCATAACTGGAGTGCCCCCTCAATTTATATGTGGTTTTTGGGTCCACAAAAACCTAGAATCTCACAAGTTACACCATAAAAAAAAAAAAAAATCGAATTTGTCAACAATTGGTATTGCTTCTCTCTGAATCTCAAATAGCAATAATCAAAGTCCACATAATAATTATACTGCCTGTAGTATTTTGATTATAATTTACTAGTTGGATGATTAGAATAAAATATAAATAACATGTTGAAACAACATGTATCATAACAACGATATATTTTGTAATCTCAATAGCAACGAAAACGTGTTGTTTATAATTCATTTTGAAATCTGAAAATATATATTTTGGTAAGTAATTTATACTTAATGATATAATGTGGTGTATATTTATTAATTTGTTTTAATTTTTTGATTTACAGAGAATATGTTTATTGAATTCGTTTCAGAAATAGCCGGCGAGGCCCTTTTCTTTGGACTGAGCCGGTTTATAGACTATTTGATAGTCCAAAGTAAGTTTAGCTGTGTGAATACTGATTTAATTAATTGATTTTTAATCATAATATGAAAGTGAGAGCTTAATAATTAATAATGCATAGTTGTTTATTATTGAATGTTGTGTATTCATAATATTATAAATAATCATTTGTAATTTATATTATACTACATAGATCCAATCTCGATTCGACGCAGGAATGAAATTGAACCGAATGCAGTAACCAATGACGAGTTGTTTGGCGTCATTAATCCGACTTCTAGAGAATTTGAAGTATTATGAATTAAAAACAAAACAGTTGGAGAACTTGAAACAGATTCAAGATTTAAACTGTTCTGATTAAATATAGGTATCAGATTACATTTTTAATTTCTCGTCATCTACTTATATTACGCAACAATTCTGTTATACCTATACATAATATACCTACCTATATACTTTAATTATTATAAAATACTAAACATTATTCTTTATTATATTTATAACTATGTTATCAGTTATTTAGATACCTATAAGTAATAAACATATATTATGTGATTTGTTTTTAAACTACCTATTTATTTACGATTGTTTCAAAAATATATTGTTAAATAATAAATATTAATATGATAATTATTAGGTACTATAAAATATATTATGAAATTTGTTTTTATTTACAAAAGTTACAAGAATAAAAATAAAAAAGTTTTAACTAATAATAATATGATATGTAATCTACCTATAATATACATATTACATACGTTTAATAAAAAAACTATCGTATGTCTGCGCTCTTGCTACATTACCTCTATTTTGGTTTATTTGTACAACATTATAATTGTCCTCATCTGCAGAACTATCACTTTCACTTTCTTCATTATAATCATAATCTTCACTACTATCTTCTGTGCTACTATTGTTGTTATCGTTAGGATTTATATTATTGATATTTAAGTGTTTTTTAAAATGTAATTTCATGTTGTGTAACACTGATAATGCTACTATAGCAACAGTGGCGCCGAACTATTTTTTTTTAGGTGTGGCAATGAACAATTACTTATATAGCCACCTCCCCCATTGGATATTGGCTATTAGAACTAAGTCATGGAAGCAACCTCCGCCCCACCAATTTTTAATCTAAAAAATATTTTCACAAGTTATAATATTTACCGCATTATGTCTAAAATATAGCATTATTTAATATTTTAACATATTACAGTTAAGATTATCTCCAGTAAAAGCCTCCTCAAAATGAAAATCAAGTTTTTATCATCTAAAAACGATATTCATAGTCACTGATTTAGTTATTTAAGCTTTTAGCTAGGTAGGTACATCATATTATCATTCAGTAATAAATAGAACTATTACATTTTTTTTCTTATACCCATGTAAATATATGTATATTATTTGGTTAATGGTTTGCATAATATTTTTTGAGTATAATGTACTATAGTAATACCTATATTAAATAAAAATATAAATAATTGCTTTAGTTTCAATTCCAATGTAATTTTCACCTGATTCTTATATATTCCTATACATATAATAGTATAATATTGGTAAATATAGGTAGCTATCTAGATGATATTATAAAGTTATATTTATATTACAATTTACAGCTATTTAAGTAGGTAACTCATTTTACTAATAGTAAAATATTGCATTATAAAACGTCTAATTTCGTCCAAGTTTCAACTTAAAATTTCTATAAAAAAAACTGTGCTTATATATTTTTTAGATTTTTGGTAACAGTATTACCCACTCATGAGAAATCTCGTTTTAAATTTCCGATCTTTAGCTATAAAAATTGAACATTTTATAAATTTTTAACCAAAATAACGTTTGCGGTATATTGACTAATTTTGTAAAAACCTGTACTTAAAATGCTTACAAAAAAAAAAAATAATCGTACATAATGTATCTTCATTATTTAAAAATTGCTATTATAACAACTTATGAGGAACCTTGTATTAATTGTTTAAGCTTTTAGACCCGTCTCTAAATAGGTCAAAAAAAGTAGAAATATTTTGAACATTTCATCATGTAGGTACCTTTAGACAGTTGTAATATTTTATCATAATCATTTGGTGAAAAATTGAAGTATCTATTTATAGTTGATTTTTGAATTACAACAAAATATAAAAAATCGTTTGAGGAGAAATTATTAACTAACTGTTGAATATCCATCTAAAAAAATAATATCAAATGTTTAAGCGAAATGATTCCAGTGTTGGGAATAGCTCACTAAAATAATATCTAGATAAAGATTTTTAAAATAAAATATCTTAAAATGTTATCCAGTAATAAATTAAAATATATTATAACACAAATATTGGTTAGGTTACAAGAACACAAGAGAATTACAAGGACAGTTACTAGTCGCGTTGACTCGTTTGTATTTTGTTTTGATAATCTGATCCTAAAATTTAAACTCTGAAGTAGGTATATCAATATTTATATTATAATGGATACTGTCTGTATAATAGTAATAGAATTGGCATCGGGCATCAAGCGGTGGGATGTCAACCAACAACCACCAATAACCCACCACCGATAAATCATCCTACAAATTACAACAAATACATTTTATCACGACTTAAACTATAGACGGTTATTTTTTTAATAATTTAAATATGTGTTCATTGCTATTGTCAATTTAGATTTAATTTGAGAAAAAAATATCAATTAATCTCAAATTATTATTCTATTATACATTTTACTACATTTATAACGAATACTATTTAAATTTAAAGAAACATATAGTGTTTTATTTTTTTTGACATTGCTGACTAGCAGATAAAAAGATGCAAACACTATTTTCATCACAGCCAATTGAGAAGTCTTTGGGTAAATAACTATAGGAGGTTAAAGTATCATTGTTTTTAAGACTTCAAGCTACATTGTTATTAGCTAGTTTTTACTGTGGACAATATTCCCCACCATTATTTTTAACTTGCAATTCACTAATCACTATATGTCATGCGAGAAGCTCAAAAATAAATCATAAAATGAACTTCGTTTTTTTGACACTCCATTCGGTTTGTGTGGCGGCTACGGTTGGTACGCGTTTTTTATGTGAGGCAGATAGATCGTCGCAAAGAACCCTGGTGGTCACCCATCTGGGAGCCTGCTCGACCTCTGCACACGTTATATTAGTGACTGCGTCCAATCACCGCGATTAACCAGGTCACCATTCAATGAACTCTAATACCATCCACGTTAAATTGTATATTATTATTATATGTTTATATTATATTTACCAGTTTAAATTCTTGCAAATGTATTATATTTTATAACATTTGACATGTCAACAAATTGTATACAATATTACAATCCTTAATATAGCAATAGTACTGAGTAGTAAAATACAGTAGTAGTATATACAGATTAGTGTAGATTTAATAATTTGTTGATCGTTGCCACATCGATAAAAGCATATATTAAAATTACTTGACCGTCATATTTAAAAAGTGATTTTGAAAGGCTTTAATATAGATACTTGTATATTTTAGAAAATTAAGGTTTCGGAAATATAGTTAAAATATATTAGACTAGGTACGTTATGTTATTTGGTATTAGCAAGACTTAAACAGTTAACCTAACTATTAATTAATCATAGAAATAATAAACTAGGTATAGGATCAATGGATCATAGTCAAATATAATTTTAATGTAAACAACATTCAAATTAATAATTATGTATATTCGTATAACGTATCTAGTATACAGAGTGTGACAGTATAAATGAAAAAAAAAGAAAATTAAATATGTCCATTTATGTTCAGTTATTACCTAATAATGAAATGTGTACCGGTTATTAGGTATTTTTTCAAAAATGATAAATTACAACTATAAGACCTCCTTTTCGATTTTTTTTTAAATTGTGGTCGTTAAATAATTTTTTTTGCTGAATTAAAATCTTGAAAATTTACCCATATCAGAAGTTCAAAATGAATGAACATATAAAGATTAAAGGCATACATTTTTTCATAAGCATTTTAAATTCAAATTTTGACAAAATCCATCATAATCGCTCAAACATAATCAAATTATTTTGTATTTAAAAATGTATATAATGTTCAACTTTTATAGATAAGAACTAAAAGTTCAAAACAAGGTTAAAATATATTTTATAAATATAAGTTATACCTATCTATTTAACTATTGCAAATAATAGGTAACAACTAGGCAACAAAAAACAGCGGTAAAACAGAAATATTTACACAACACCAGTTATGAATTAAATTTACCTCATATTTTTGTTGTAATTAAAATCATAATCAAATACTTAAAGTACCTACATACATTTTTTATAGACCTGATATTATAATGTCTAAAATATTTAAAATTTTTTAGAGTCTGCATTGGTACCTATAAATAATTACCTTATTTTAAATAATTATTTATAAGTAATATTAACGCAGGTAAAACAGAAACTAACTGCAACTATAACTTAGCATAACTACGACCTGCAGCCACATCTTAATTGGTTGACGAAATCACTTCACATGTGAAACTTAGTGTGCTAAGTATTGTGTTAGACTGTTGACAGCTATTTTAAGTCGAGGAAAAATAATTAAATTAATTGAAAACATTACTTTACTTTAAACACTATATATAAATACCAAAATTCAAAAAAGTTAAAGACTTATTGGATACAATTATTAAAACAATATTCACTGTCGAAATATTACAGTATAAATAAACTAAATCTATTCGATTAAACATTCACACAGTGTATAATAATAATCGTTGTCAACAATAAACAATATACTAGTCACCAGCTTCCTATTATAATAATAATAATATTTGTAGCCAGCAGTTAACCTAACCTAACCTATTATTATATTACACATAATATTATATTTATTTTTTATGTACTAGCCACCACAGCATAATATTATCAATTTTTTGTACGACAGAGTTTTTTTTTTTTTTTATTGATCTTAAATTCATCGACATCTAGGGCATTATGCGTCATAATAATATAATAATAATTATAAATATAAATATATAAAGTCACTGAAGTTATTGACAATAGTAGGTAGGTAATATTGGTAATAGGTAGGTTTGGGGTATATTATGTGGAAAGGGCAGAAAATGAGTTATTTCAGTCGTAGGCGACGCACAGTGGTCTGAAATCGAATTTTAGGCGAAAAAAAGTGAAAGAAAATTGTTTGCTCGTCATGCAGGGAGGTTATAATATGAATATAACTTATAAGATGTTGCCCACGATGTAGATAACCTAAAGTTTATGTTTTGTAAGGACCGTGGCATATAGTTTTCAGTGTTGCCCCAATTACTTATTCGAGAGGGGGTAACATTTATTTTACCCCCAATGATTTTTTGACATCATACAGCATACATTTTATACATACATTTATCTAGTTAAGTCTCAACACAAATTAATGTGACTTTCTGGTAAGGTTTTCTTTTAACTTTTCTTTGGTAGACAGTCGAAAATTTTTTAATTTTCTTAATTTTAAATGAATTTTGTTTAAGTTTCAACTTTAGACCCATATTGAAAATAATATACTGTGGATTTGTGTTCAGATTGACAGAGAGAGAAAATTATTTATCGATGATAATTAAAAATAAAAATGTTTAATGCTCAAAAAGAGTCTATATATTTTGAATATCTTGTAGGAAATATCTTTCAGGAAAATTCTTATATATTATATAAAAATTTTGTTAAAATATAAAGTTTTTACGGTTAGTCATTTTTGAGTTACAACAGAAAACACAATCGATTTTGTCGATAACTGGTTTTGTATAAAAATTACTTTTATATTTGTTATTTTTTTTTTTGTTTTTCACGACGCTTTTGAAAATTACTGGGAATTTTTTACTTTTGATTTTTGACTCAACAAAGTATCAACTTGATTCACTTCCCTATCAGACAAGATGCTGAAGTAGAAATTTGAAAATAGAATTTATGTTTTAATGGTAAAACTATTAATTAAATTATTAGTTATTGGCTATTTCTAATGTTATCACACAGTACACACTGCACGCTGCGACACACTAGGAAGTCATCTTTCTTATATTTGTAGTATTTTGTACAATATCTTTTTACACTTAGGATTACGATTATCCACCAATTTTGGTTGTACACCCACCCCCCCTTAAAATAGGTGTGGCGGCTGCCACACCTAATACATGGGTTCGGCGCCACTGTATAGCAACTTTAGCGTTCTCGAGGCTTATGGTCATTCCTCGCAATAGACAGCGAAAACGTTGCTTGATTTGTCCAAATAATCTCTCTATTGTGTTTCTTGCTCTGATGTGTGTGTAATTTTATTGTCGCTCCACATCGTTTTGAGGATTAAGAATTGGTGTTAACATATATGGAGTACAAGCATAACCACTATCACCAAGTAAGATACCATTTATTGATCCATTTTCAAATTGTTCCTTGATAAGACTTTCGTTCCAAATCCTTGAATCGTGTGCACTTCCTCTCCAACGAGCAATTACATGCAATATATGACAATTTGCATCACAAATTACCTAAATTATTAATCATTAATTATTATTTATAAGTATTAAATATAATTTTAACAAGATTTTAACTTTATATTTTATAAATTTGACTATTTTAATAAAATACATGTTATATGGCTTACTTGAACATTTATTGAATAAAAGCCTTTTCTATTAATGTACAATTGAGCGTAGTCACCCGCCACCTTTTTGATCTGTATATCCGGTATATGTGTACAATCTATCGCACCAATTATCGAAGGCATATTAAATTTTCTACGAAAATCTGCCTTCTTAGAAGCTAACTCTTCATTGGTCAATGGAAACTTAATATAATTATTTTTTAATGATGCTAGTGCTCTACAAATTTGACTCGAACATCGACTAACTGTCGGTTGACTAACACCATGTAAGTCTCCATTGTCGTCCTGAACCTTAAATTATAATAATATAGGTACTTTAATTTGTTTTAAATTCATAAATGAACTATTACTATAAACATTAAAACAAAATCAATAATTACTTGTCCTCTAGCTAAATAACGAAGTGCAATCAAAAATTGTAAGCTCGGCGAAATTGGTTTTCCGCGATTGTTAACTGCTCGAGGTAAAAAGTCACGAATTTCGTTTACGATTTGTAAGCATTCTGCTTTTGAAAATCGATACTTTTTACGAAATTCATTATTAGTAAGTTCGATGTAAGGATTTTTACGAATCTTATATATTTTCCGCTGTCTAATAAAATGCACATTTGTTAAATTTCTTACGCGTCTAACATTTTGTACATTACCGATATCCATTTTTCGTAAGTATAAAACGCACAAGTTTTTAAAACACGAATGAATTAAATTAAATGATAATACATATTACAATATATTATTAAGATAACAGAGATTTTTATAATAAACCAACTTTAAACCTCGTATTTACCTAGTTTATAAATCAAAGGTTTATCGTTAAACTTAGTCTATGGTCTAAATAAAGTTTATCGTCTATGAATAACAAAAAAGATAAACTATTGTTAAACTACTAATAAACCAATGTTAAACCAGGTCCAATTTGACTATGAATAACACTGTAAGAGTTTGTGCATCAATATAATTTTTGCACGGGGTTGTAGTAATATTGTATATTCGGATAGAACTATTTTCGGGCCTGATAAGAGATCAATCACAAATGTCTGTTTATGGATCCGAACAGATGGTAATGGACGATGACATATTATATCCTATGTGGATTGAGTCATTAAACACAGTGATGGACGACAATAAGGTAAGAAATACTTTTGGTCATTCATGATGATTATATAGACATGCTATGAATAATAAAATATGGGCGTACATTACCACACTTAAACGAAATCTTTTGATATAATATATACATAACAGGCGTTGACTTTGGTGAATAATGAACGTATTGCCCTAACACAGACAATGCGTCTACCGTTGGAGGTATCCAATTTGAGGTCTACCGCGTCAGCCACTGTCGGCTGGAATCCGTATGTTTCTGGTCGGATGGACACTAGTGATAATGTAACTGAAGAAGCTGCTCTTCTGGTACTATTTGATAAATATGTGCCCATCTGTTTGGAAACGCTTAAAACAAAATTCATAATCATAAAACCCGTACCGGAAATAACGCACAAACAAATGTTGTGTACGTTACTCGATTGTCTTTCGACTCCCATCAATTGTCCGCCGGAAAATGCTAGGGATGTGTACGGAACATATTTTGTGTACACTTGTCTTTGGGCTTTTGGTTCAGCCTTATTTAAAGATCAGGTGCCTATAATTAGTATTATTTCTTAATATAGCTAGCTATTTAATATATTATATTATACCTTACACATTTATAGTAATAATATCAATTATATTTTGTGTCTTTGTGATAATTATGCTAAATTGGTAATTTATATATAGTTGATAGTTGATTGATTGGAAAGTTGAATTTTCCAAATGGTGGTTAACAGATTTTAAAACGATTAAAATCTCATCATCAGGAAGTGTGTACAAGATCTAACCAAGGAATAAACTGTTTTGGTTCAGGGTCGATGAAATATTATTAAAAATATAATAATAATAATAATAATAATAATATTAAATAAATTATTTCATCGACCCTGAACCAAAACAGTTTATTCCTTGGTTAAATCTTGTATCATCTTTCGTGCTTAACCCAGATACACGTCTACAAGTAATAATTATATCATTTAAATAAAAACAATTAATAATTATACAATATTATCGTAATAATTTAGAAAAATATAAATACAATAACAATGTTTCTGAACCTTATACTATTAGATACTATTAGTCAGTGGCGGACTGGGAGAAAAAAACGGCCCAGGAAAATTTTAATTTTAGAGGCCCTCAGTATACTAACAGCCCTTTTTATAATATATATATTTTTTTTGTAAATACAATTTAGCGTATAACGACGGAAATGTACTGTTGAATCTTATATAGCACCTAAATAGTAATAAAGTAATGTACCTACTCTTTAATTAGTATAAGAATTAAGAGGTACTTATTTGAGATAAGTACGAATTCAGTGTATAAAATATATAAATCTAAAAATTCCCACTTGTTCGATTTTTGCTATCGCACTATTAAACGTAATTATTATTATTACATTCCCCCTACATTCTACAACATCATATTATGTTTGCATCCAAAAACCGCACACTTTTGATTTCGACTAGCACCGAGTGCTAGATTCATGTACAGAAAGTAAATACGCGTCCAGTCCGCCACTGCTATTAGTATGCACATGTATCATCAATTTAGATATTTTATGTTTCTGGATCTTGGCTTTTTTGATATTAACCAACTATATTTACTAATTATAAATTATAATTATTTACAGCAAACTCTCGTAAACACAATAGAAACAACTAGGATAAGATATTTCCTCAACTTATTGGTTGATAAAAAAAGGCAATCACGTTGGCCGGAGCCAATGATGATAATCGCAAATCACTTTCTAATGATTTGAACGCTGTTGCAAATGTACCGCTTAATTTATACACAATATCTGGTATTTAAAAACTAAAAACTTAAATTTGTACTCATTTAGAATAAATGTAGTAATACCTATTTATGATTGAAGGTGTTTACTAGAGTAATTATTTTTAACTTTTATTTTTAAGTAGACGTTTTGTAAATAAAAATAAGTAATACATAATTAGTTGTAAGCTATTATACATATACTCTTTGCTTATATTTCTATAAGTATATTAGTGGTGACTTTATAGTTTTATACTGCTAATTGTTCTTTAATAATATTAACGATAATATTTTCAAAAACGAATCTCTTAAAGCACACAATCATACACTTTATTATGAGTCTTAATATCATAATTATCTTTACTAGAAATGTTACAAAAGATTTTGGAAAAACCATTAGAGAAAAAATCTGGTAGAAACTTTGATCTTCCGGATGGTAAAACACTAATTTACTTTATTGATGATATAAACATGCCAGAAGTAAGTTAACATTTAATATATAATATTTATTTTAAATGACTATTATTTGAAAATATTGGTATTGTAATAAAGAAGAATATTGATTGTTACAATGTGTGCGATACTGCGAAAGATCACATATATAATATAAGTTAACAAATCAATTTGAACTACTTATTTAATGGTCTATACCTAAATTACATACTTATACTAACTGTATACGAATATTTCAAAGTGATTTTCAAAAATTTATTTTTTTGTTATTTCATACGAAATATATTCCGGTTTTTAACGTGATCAATTTAATTAATTCCATATTGATATACCTTAGAAGAAATTACTGTATTATATTATTATTATTGTTTTTTCCATAAAGTTTTAAGAAAATTCAATCCTACTAGGTATTATTTTAAATCTTAAACTTATGTATGCAGGGTATTAGTCCTGAAAACGAATACTTGATAAGCCCACCGGCACATTCACATTTTGCGGACGGTATTGGTGATCAAAAATGTATGCATGTGTGGTCGTGGAGTAGTATACTGCATACAATACTAAATGATGCAATGAAGTCGTACAGTGAATTTCCGCGGGCTCTTAATTGAGTGCAGTTCGAAGACGCGATGTCCCACGTTTTCCAGATAAATCGTATTCTTGAACATCCCGGAGACAACGCATTGCTCGTTGGCGTGGATGGCAGTGGTCAACAGTATTTGGTCCTCCAATCACTGTTTATATCTTCGCTGGAAATAGAATTTACATTGCCATCATATGGAATTTCCGATTTTAAAGTGGACAAAACCACCTTAATGGCCAAATGGCCTAAAGATACATTGGAGTCCAAATCATTAAGGCTTTTAAGGTTAATTAAAAAGTCATTAATAATATCCTAATGATAAGGTTTTTAATAATTTATATTATACAATTTTATTAAAACATATATTTTTTATTAAAGAGGTCTAGTCAAGGATGATGAAACTTCAGACCGGAACACTTGTGTTATGTTACAAGTGATTGGAGGACCAAACACTGTTGACCACTGCCATTCACGCCAACGAGCAATGCGTTGTCTCCGGGATGTTCAAGAATACGATTCATCTGGAAAACGCAACTTACTTGTAACTTACAAGTAAATATTAAATAACAGTTAATCATTAACTCACTATAATATGAAATTACAATTTATGTTTTAAAGAAAGTACATAAAGTACAAAAATGTCCGCGTTATTTGGATAAAAAAAGGGAAGCATATTTTGACCACCATCCACATACTGAATATTCGGGCCCCATTCGGCACATTTGTGCCCCAATCTACTACGCTATTCCTCAATTATTTTTATTATAAATTCAATAATATTTCATTTAATGTTATGTATTTTATTCATTAGAGCATAGAGTATACATAATAATATATATATTACACTTTATTACAATAATTACAATTTTAGTATATTATTACTGTAACTTAATCCCTTTTATTTTAGACGATGAAGAAGTTGCAGATCAACCTAAAGAACTACCACCCTGTGCAACTGTTGAATGAATTAAAACCGGGGCTACGGTACTACGTTACCGTAATTTCAAATCCCCCTGCCGATATATTAGTGCGATGCATAGTAAATGGCTCACTAATTGAAGAACGAGGTAATACATTTATAATGCAATATTTTATTAGGTATTGACGTTATTAATTTAAGTTTTTAATTTACTTTAATATTCCTTTTATTGTAAACAAATGTGATTTATTATTTTTTATGAAATCACTTTACTATAATATACTTAAAACAAAAATAAATATATTTATCAGTCTATTGATTAAATGCAGAGATTATCATAATAAATAAATACAAAAAAAAAACATTACTATCTTGTAAATATAAATGAAATAATTAATAAAGATTATTCACGTAATATAAATAAACCTATATAAAACAAAATTAATTGGCTGGATTAATGAGTATTCATATTAAAAATTGTTTCTAAAAAAATTAGTTTTGCTATTAATTTATATTTTACAGCATCTACGAAGAAAGCGGCTCAAAAAAAACGGGTATGATTATATTTACGATAATTTGGTTTAATCACTTCATTAATTTGTAATATTATATTATATAAATTCTACCTTATACATTAAAATACATAAAATTATTTCTCAACAGTATTCGATTCAACAATTAGTGAGCCATTGATGCATCGCACCAGAATATCAGCCAGAATATCAGTAATTTAAAAGTTGTACGGGGTATGCCGTACGCATATTAGCATTCTGTGCACGGTCTCGGCACCTATAAACCAATTGAGACTTCTGATTGGCCCGTTTGAATTTCCGCGCGAATTTCATAATTTTATGTTATCACGTATAATATTATAATATATATAATATATTGTAATACACTATTATATTATATACAATATTATATATAGCATTACAATTTTTTTTTTTTATATTTCTGAGTTAGAAAGTAGTTAATTCTATTAATTGTTAGGTTATTATTACTTAAATCATTTGAATGATTAAGTATTTTTAAATACACATTTAATAATAAGTAACTATAAAATAAAAACATTCAAATAAGTAGGTAGGTATCCAATATTAATTTATGACAATAAATATTTTTTATATTGAAAAATGTAATAACTTTTAACTTAGGTATAACTTATTTAATGACTTTTACAATATTATAAAGTATCAATAAATCAACTAAAATACTAATACCTAGATAAAATAAAATTATAAGTATCAAAGAGGAAGATTTTTAATTTCATAATTATATTGGTATGCTCATTTGTTTGATTATAGTTGTATTTAATTATTTCTATAAAAACTTCTTAAAGACAGTGCATAATGATTATAATATAATATTGTTATTTTATAAGGAATTCAAGTTAAAATTGTCAATACTTACTTGCACCATTAATTAATAACACAACTGAATTCGTGAGATCATATTAATAATATTGTATTACCTATAATCTTATAATAGGTAAAATTATTAGTTATTACTTATTACTTATTAGTTATTAGTTATTACCCTTGCAATCAGCATAATAATAATTGGAAATTGGTATTATAATTTTAAACCTAGTAGTTGTACTATCGTCTATCAAGTAGTTATCATTACACAATTTACAATTATTATTATTAACCTATTTTTACTATGTACTATGTAGATACTTAGTAATATAATATATTGCAACTAGCATAGAATATTGTGTTGTCTGATAATACTTGTGTTCATTAGCATTAGCATTATAATCATAATTCGCCAATCCCTATTTAATACAAAATTTAGATAGGTACCTACTCTTCTTTCATGACAAGTGGTAGATACTTTTAAATTTTATTACGGATACTTTTAATATTATTCAAATTAATCCCAGTTTACTGTGTGCTAATCTGTTGAATGAAAATAACATTAATAATTATATAAAATATTTTTCCCAACAAACACAAACAAGTTGGTGTGTTCATCTCTATTTAGTATAATACAAATAATGACATTTATATGTATAAATAAGAATTACTGATTTACCGAATAACAAATCTATTAGATTTAAATGACTTTAGAACACACCAACTTGTTAACTTTAATTATGTATAATTATTAATGTAATTTTCATTCAACAGATTGGCACACAGTAAACTGGGATTAATTTGAATAATATTAAAAGTATCCGTAATAAAATTTAAAAGTATCTACCACTTACATGAAAGAAGAGTAGGTACCTATCTAAATTTTGTATTAAATAAGGATTAGCGAATAATGATTATAATGCTAATGCTAATGAACACAAGTATTAACAGACAACACAATATTCTATGCTAGTTGCAATATATTATATTACTATGTGGTTTTCTCGTACCTACTAGACAGACCAGCCGCTAATTATTGATATCGTTCCGTGCCTCCAAACAACGACAAAACTTAGTATAAAAAACTTTTACATAGGTACCTAAGCAATTTTTATATTATTTTTTATAATTATAATAAATAATAATTGTATACCTATAGCCATGTTCCATTTGTCATTTTTGACGAAACTCGGCTATCGTTACATTTTATAGTATTATATTATTATTTAAGCCCAATAGATACCCTACTAAACACAACACACAACCTACCTATATAGTCATACCACCCACATAGGCATTCTGCAGGCATCATTCACTTAATTACATATCGTTATAATACAATATTGTTTATATGTAGTTATATCTATATTATTCGTTGAACATAAATTTATAAGCATAATAGCGAAGTATACCAACCTATTATAATATTATATTCATCAACAGTATTGGGTAAATTACTTTTAAAAAGTAATGAAATTACATTACTCATTACTTCAAATATTTTTTTTAAAATTACATTTGCGTTACCTGAAATTATTTTTATCATGCTACATTACTTTTTCATTAATTAAGTAGGTAGTGCGATCCAAATAACGTTACTTATTTTATCATTTTTTTTTAATCATATTCAATTCATATGATTCAATTATTATGTATACATTTTACAACCATAGACCTATTATAGTATTATGTACAAATGTACAATCATCTCACCTATATGGCTATATAGTTAATTTTTATTACATTTTATTTTTAAACCGAACTCTTTTCTTTTTGCTAATAAAGTGATAACATTTTTTTAAAAAGCAATGTCGTTCCAAACACTGGATCTTAAGATCATAATATTGTATTCGAGAATTTGATCAAATACACAATACGTAATGTAGGTGTATTTGTGTTACCTGGGCCGAAGCTGCCTATTATAGTGCCTGTAGCCTATAATATAGTAGGATATGTGACATTCAAGAACCTACGTACTTACATTACGTGAAGCAAAATAAGAAAACACACAGATTATTACTCGTAAAATAACTATGGCTATCCCTCTGTCGGCCGTATTATTTTTATTTTTATTATTGATTTTATATTAGTACGTCCATAGACTTTGAAGAAAAAGTATATACTCTAGTAGCTATAGTATATTGTACATAATATATAGAAAGTAGATAAGCCCTTGCCCCCCAAAAAACAAAAAAAAACAAAATTAATACTTATACTTATTTTATTTTATTTTATTTTAACGTTGATTCAATTACCTGATATTGGGCTCAGAACCAAAAGGTGTTAAATCAATTTTTTCGAAAATCCACATTTTCATAGATTGAATGATCAAAGCTCTATAAACTATACTATATACATTTACACTAGTAAATGTTAATATTTTAATGCCCATTTGGCATTTAATAATAGATTTGATATTTTAATACGAAAGAGTATTAACTTTGTTTTTTTTTTTTAATTATCATACATTAATTATATTCAATGTAGTCTAATTTGATACCCAGAATATTTTTCTTAGTATTTTGATACATGAAAATCGAATTTGGGTTGAGTAGTTTATGAGTTATAAGTATTTAAAGTTTAGACGAGCGGTGAAGTGGACAAACATTTCGCGGGGTAACCCCGAACCACTCCACTCCGCTCGTCAAAACTTTAAATACTTATAACTCATAAACTACTCAACCCAAATTCGATTTTCATGTATCAAAATACTAAGAAAAATATTCTGCTTTGGAATATAAAATTAAAACCCTATGTTGTTATTTAAAAAAGTAAAAAACTTAAAAAATTATAAGGATAAAAAATATTTAAAAATATAATTTTTTAATAAAAACGTAGTTTTATAAGCGACTTGAAACTATGTAAAAAAATATTTTCAAAAAATTTTACACTTTTTGAAATAATGAGTGTTGTTTGATAAAAGAATCACCCTGTATACACAAAATATCATACGTTTGAGAATACACGGAAAAAAAGTTTCTACAAAATATGAAGTAAAAAATTGTTAGTGTTTAAAAAATACGGTGTGTTTAAAAATAGACGTAGGTACCTAAATATATTTCAAAAATAAAATTTCCCTCTTCTTGTAGAATATAGATCATAATAATAATATGCAATGTAAAATGTTTGGTCGAGGTCAACGAAAAAAACCTGCAATATATAATAATTTATACGAGTATTCGGTGGTATTTAATACTGAAAAAATCACATAATTTTATAATAATACAATTATATAATATTGTAACACTATACGCTAAAACGAAATTAAATAAAATTTGAAAAATTATAATAAATAAATAAATAAATAGATAAACATAAATAATAATAATAATAATAGCATTGACATCGACTGCATGGAGTGGACGAATAAATAATAACATCGAAACTCCCGACGTGTCAAGCGTTGTTGGTTGGTATGTAAGCTATCGGCGCCAGCGGGTATGACAAACGACCGACGCTGGCCTCGTCGTCCGCGTCCTCGTCGCCGGCCTGTTGGCCCGGGCCGGAAGCTTCGCCGGACGGGGCCGTGGCCGGAGCGGCCGGCGCCGCGTGCACGACGCTGACGCGCTGAGGCTGCAGCGGGCCGCGCCCGATCGGGTGATGCGTTGCGCCGTTCTCGTCCATGGAGAGGTGCCGAGCGTAACTGTACGGCGCCGATGAGTACGACGCCCCGTGAACCAGGTGTTCGTGATCGTATATGGCTGGCTTGGTGATGATCTCGTAATGCGACGTCTTGCCGTAACCGCCACCTCCGCCACCACCGCCGCCACCTCCACCGTGGCCTTTGAGCGCGCACACGGCGGCCAGGACGAGCGCCAACATGGCCGTCATCAGGGCTTTGCCTGACATTGCGGCCAGCGACGCGAATGCGATTGCCGCCAGCGTGCCGGCCGACCACAGGGCCGCTTTCATACCGTCCTTCTTGCCCCGTCCTGATTGTGGACAAACAAACAAATATAAAAGGTTACCAAAACGGTCGTCACCCGACAACGGTCGCGGTATGTACCGTGCGCGGTGGCGGTACATAAGCCGCGATCGTCGTCTCGTTGTTGGAGTTCAAAACTCGCGTCGTGTAGTGGTTGGTTTCACTATACGTGAGGTGGTTAACCGCGGTTATCTGGGTTAGATTATATTAACGACGTATCTTTTTTTACAATTGATACTATATGAATAGGTGACATAGGTACTGAGGTTTCGTCTATAATCACCTATAGTGGACCGGAGTCAATACCATTGATCGTTAAAAATCAAATCAAAATTAGCATCATCAATAATAGTTTAATACCTAGGTAGGTAAATAGTTTCAATAATATAATTGTTTAAAAAAGTGAATAATTTCTATTGCTTTTCGAGGAGGATTATTTTAAAAAAGCACTTTCTTCTATTGTGTAATGAGAAGGACAAGCCCGGATTAAGACATTTTGAGGCCCAGGGGCCAAAGTTTAAATGAGGCCCCTGTACGAAAAAAACATAATGTATATTAATATATAGGTACCTGTTATAATAAATATATATAGGTATTAGGTACATAGCAATAAATCAAGAATTAAGTATCATTTTATTTATAAATTATAATTTACAAGCTTTTTTCCTCGCTAAATAATCATCGATTTTTTTTAAAGTGATTTATGAGGTGTTATAGCCTATAATGGACAAATCTGAGGCCCCTAAATAAATGGAGGACCGGGGGCCATGGCCCCCCCTGGACCCCCCTTAATCCGGGCTTCTTTCTCAGAAGGATATTAAAAATAAAAAAAACATCGTTGTATAAACGACTTTAAGGGAAAGCGATCATTTCAATTATACACCAGAAACTTTTCATATTTTTTTTCTTTAAAAAGTAATTATCATCGATTTAAACGAATACTAATTATCCATACAGACTACATCAAAATTTAAATACCTAATAGGTACAAATAATATTTATATTTTAACTTGTTCGTATAAATTTAAATTTAAAGCTGATTAATTATATATTTCTATTTATGTTTATTATATTTTTGTACATTCCTAGCAGAAATCATTTAAATCGTCTGCTTAATGCGTTTTAAATATTCTATAATAATATATTATCAAACGTGCGTTGGAGCCATGTTTGGTTTTTAGTTGTAAATTATTATTGATGAGGTTGTTTTCGACAATTTACACTTTTTTTTGGAGAACAATCCTGAATAATATTATTTTGTAAATACCTATTAAGAAAATAATGTTATATAACATGTAACGAATCTCGTAGTATTTATAATAATATGTCAGACAGCGCACATCAACAGTGTTTAATACATATTATACCAATTTATAATATTGTCCCGGAGTTGAAACAATGCGTCGAAGTATTTTGATAGTAGTTCCAACCCTGGTTCTCGGTTCAAAAAAAAAAGGTATAATATTGTAGTGTAGGAACTACCGGTCATAAGCAATCTAAGCACCAAACGTTAAAATCTAAACGATTTAAATTGTTTCGTTTTTTTGATCCATTATAGGTTTAGTGTTTATTTTTCATTTAAGATCTGCCTTTTTTTAAGCTCTACCTGTCGTTCTAAATTGTATCAATTCAGTAAAATTTCACGACACGTACGACGTACCGTATGGAAAATTGCCAATTTGGGAACGTTGTCAAAATATTTAAATTAAATCTTATGAAAACGGATCGAAGTGAAAAATATTACACAGGGATGAGTATTTTTAATCTGACGTTTTTTCATAAACACGCTCCAATTATGTGGAACACGACAAGAATATTACAATAACGGCGAGAAAAACAATGTATTGTTAAGATTAATTTGGCAAAAAAAAAAAAAAACGTAAATCGGGTTATGGTTATACTCGTACCTACTTCCATACATAACATATAGATTATAGGTAATACGTTATCGTGACCGCTTTTACGTCTTCATAATTTAATTCTGGTTTGATCCAACTACACATAATAATAATTGTTCTCATACGTATATTCATGAAAAGGTCATTATTTTCAACAGTTTAGGGCTACGTGACAAACCGATACCATTATATTATTTCAATATAAACAAAAAAATTATAATAATAATGTATCCGACACGGACGAATTGGCGTTGAAAAACACGGAAAACTTGATATTATTAATCGATTAATGAAAACCGTTTGGTTGACGACAGTCGAAAGAACGACCGAGCAAGGGAGGAGGTTGAAAAGTAAAAAAAAATATTTGTCGTTCGACGAGATTGAAAATATTATAATACTATTGTGAATTGTACGCATTATATTTTTATCTTCGAGTATTATAATAATAAATTGTTGTACATCATATTATAATCATGCAGGAGAATAATTTTTTAGAAAAGCATCTAATCTAGTAAATACCTTGTTTATTATCGTTCATCAAAAAATATACGTATCACAATCACATGATTATTATAGATATTATAGACGGAACATAAGGGATGATAACGGGTGTAAGTGTATGGCACTTGTTACGAGGATCGGGCTTATAAATTATCCTAATAATTAATGACGAAATTGAACTGTCGTCGGAACAGTATACAGCATATTTCCATATATCTCACACTTATGATAAAACTCAATCTATATCTCTTGTTCCACGGTTTTGCACAACCACGCCTCCTGGTCCTCAGAGAACATTTTCCGTCTTAATTCTGTAAGTCTATGATTGTACACCTCAAACCACACCGGTGAATAATATTTAATGGCCCGAAATGAAAGTAAAAAGTCGATCGATAATCAGAAGAACATATTAATAGAATCAGGATCAAATAACTATAGGCATTAAGAAGATTCCAGCAAATGGACCGTTTTTAAAATAAGGTTTAAAATAGGACATTTTCAAATTGTGGCTTGTGAATGTGTGAGTAGTAAGTGATTATAAGTACAATAATTATTCATCACCTCGGTGTGTGAAAGGTAAACAAATTCTCATGTACTTTTTGTCAATCCTACCAATGGACGTGATCTGATAATGCGATAAGACTTATAAAAACTGATTTGTCTACTCAATACCGATCAGGACATATTTTAAGATATTTTATTTAAATTAAAAATAATCAACATTTAAAACGTCATACATTTATCGGAGTTGAGGAAAAAAATTCTAAAAAAGTGGTCTGGTCGACCTCGAGTATCATCATTGATTAACTCAAATTAGTTTTCAGGTGTGTTACTGCGTTATCAGGTCCATCTGTATGACAGAAAAGAGATTTGTACATTTTGGTTAAAATAACTGACCGTTTACAACCCCTTAAACATTATTTATACTTATATATTTTAAATCAGATTAGAAGTAGAAGTAGAAGCGTATACTATACGGAAGTTCAACCTTTAATCGACGATAAATAGAAAACTAGAATATGTCGTGGTAACATAATAATTGTTAATTTCAGTTTCATTTGACTGACCTTCACCACCTAAAACCAGCTATCATGGACCCTCTGGAAATGTCACAACGATGATGACAATATTACTATACAAACGACGGTGGTTACGTAACGAGTGACGATTATCATTACCGGTCTCCAGCAATCCGGTGGGTAGTATGTTGACGAGCATTTGACTGCTGAGATTGCGCACCTTCTCCACCACTGCCGAGTCGACCAGCTTGACGCTGATGGATAGGCTGTTCAGGTACGCGTCGGCTTTTTCCATCAGGTACCCATCCAGCTCATCGGCCGAATCGTTGCCCCGGACCAGCGACCTGACCACGTCCGGAGGTATGCCGCCGTGATGGTGATGCTGGTGATGGTGCTGGTTCTGTTGATGATGGTGACCGCCTCCGCCGCCGGTGACCGTCGTCTGGTTGCCGTCTGAAGCCCGGACGAGCGACACGCCAGGAACCAGCTGATAAGCGCGGGCCGTGCCCAGCCGGTCGATCAGTCGGACCAGGTCCAGTTTCAGGCACGTCATCGTGTACCGGTGCAGACATTTCTTCATCAACACCTGTTGCGCAACATATACGCGGGCGCGCGCACACAAACGACGGTATGTAATAACAACTGGCACGTCGACGAGATCGCCGCGCGAATGTAATAATAATATTATATTATGTAATGTTATGTTTCAATAATTCAGTACAACATTTTTACAAACGATCGTCTCAACAGCGAACACTCGAGTATTATATTTTAGGCGTTTATTTTACGTATTTCTATGTGACGGTAATTGATAAATACATTTTTCTACACATTTCCGAGTAAAAATAACGAATTCACCATTCGGGAGATTCCACACTAGCCGCTAAGTACTGTTTTTTGTTGAGAAAAATACACCTATACGCATTCCACCGTGTATGCTGACTCCAGTTTTACACCGATAATAGTTTTAAAAACATATTGTTTTTAGAATTTAAGTCAACTTTGCATTATTCAAGCCATGATTTTTATTTAAAAATATATAAAAAGAAAAATATTCACTTGAAAAGTAGAAAACATCACGCATTTTTTGAATTTCAGTGGAAAAATGATATAGATTTAAATTTCTTTATATAATTCTGAATCAAATGATTCAAAACATACTTCATAGCTAATAATTTTAATATGTTTTCAAAATTACTATCAAAATAAAACTCAAGTCAGTACATAGGAATGCGTATATAGGTCTACTTTGCTCAAGAAAACGGTAGTGCGGAATCCAGTATAGGTTCTAGAAATTAATAACAAAATATATGGATGAAAAATAAATACTGTCAATACTTTTTGAAATAATCATAGTGTTCACTGCTAAAAGAATCGATGTGTATAATACATATTTTATAGGTACACATAATAAAATACAGGGCACTATGTTAATTTGAATTCAGAAATTGTTATTGTCACGGTTGGGGGACAGGTGTGATGGAACAGTGAGGGATATGTGTCGATAGTAATTTATTATGTGTCATGGATATCTTATTATTTTTATGATCATTATTATTATCAAATGTGAGTATATTTTTGGATTTTTTATAAAGTCTGAGATGTGTTTTCGATGACACGGCCGTTTATTGGAGAGTTGGGGTAGAGGTGTATTTATATAATTTATATGTACTAAACCATTTAACGTAAACTTATTATTTTAGTAACATATTTTTAGTTTAAATATTTCTAAGCAGAATATTATTCGGAGTATTTCGATCTATAAAATTCAAATTTTGGACTAGCTGTTTATTAGTTATAAGCTTCTATTTAAAGTTTAGAAGAGCGCATTATTGAACTATAATTTTTGGGATACTCTTGTACCCCTCCTCTCCACTCATTTCAACTTTAAATACTATTATAACTTATAAGCTACTCCTTCAAAATACGATATGTTTATGTAAAAAAAACAACTTAAAATTATTAAGAAAATTATTTTAAAAATAATCAGTGTTTTACGTAAAAAGGATCACCGGTAGGTAATTATTGTATATTAACAAACACACGCGACAGGTTATTGCATAATAAGGATGAAAAGACAATTTGAAAATCATTATGCTAAACATAGCACAGTAGCATGACAGAGGACAATAAAAAAAAAAATTAAAAATACGTAACTTGGATCCTAAATAATTTACATATAATATTGTTATATAAAAAGTAAGCATCTAATAAATTAATGTCAGTCTTTTCAAATAGGTGGAACTAGCGTAAAAGGTTAGGAGGGGGCTAATAATAAATTAATGATAAAATGTATGAATCCGTTCGGAACGGAATATCACACCATCTAAAACACTTAACTTACATTTGAACTCCTTTAAATGGACTCGACGTTCGACGGAAATAATATTATTGATAAAAAACATGATATCAAACTTAGAACGATTCGAACAAACTTTATGCACAAAAATTTGATGATTTTGTCGTTTTTAATTAATTAGATCCCCGATGATTTTTCTTTGACAACTGTAGGGCGTGTGATTGATTATAATTAGATACTTCAAATGTGAGCACCACGGGTTTGAATTCAAAAACGTAAGACGGTATTTCTACCGTCTTTCGGCAATCGTGTGCAAGTCGAGGGTGGGGGTGGTTAAGGTGGTGGTTAAGGTGGTGGTTAAGGTGGTGGTGGTGTTAGTGGTAGTGGTGGTGGTATACTCGTAGTACATGCAAAAATGCTCGATCAATCTGCGCGGGGTGGAAAGTGAAAAAGAAAAAAAAAATACGAATTTTCTAATTACCTGCTTGAGGAGTTCCGTGTTGGCCGAGTCATCGTACTTGGCCTGGTGTTGAGCGGTGGTGGTCGTCATCGGTGGTTGCAACGACGACAGTAATTGCGGTCCTCCGCCTCCGACGCCGTCAGGCACGGCCGTGGTGTCGGTCTGCCCTTGCACCACCGGGGCGGCGTTGAGCAGGCAAGTCGCGCACAGGGCCACCGCGATCGCCGCTGAGGCGCAGCGCTTTTGCCGGCCGCACACGTATGTCTGCATGACGATGATGACGGTGGTTCAGGTCGAGAAGAAACAAGACTGCTTGAAAACGCGATTGAAAGGACGGCGAAAACCAGTGCGGCGCGGTGAGCTTGCAGCGACCGCGGTATAATATGCCAACGAACAATAATCTGATGATGACTCTTGTGGAGCCGACCTGTGTTATCGGAACGGAATGAACCCGCGAACTGGAGCTGTCCGATGGCGCGTGGGTAGTTTTTATAGAGACGTGTAACGAAACGATTACCGGTGGAAGTGTGCGGCGCGCGCTCGCGTGTGTGCGTGTGGATCGAGAGACGGAGGACGGAATGATAAAAAAACACGTTGGAAATCGTTTTGCGTAGGTAAAAGTAAACGGGCGGTGATTCGGCACAAACCGACACAATGTGTGTCAAGAGGGTAGGTATAGACGGCGGCGAGATTTCGGCGGAAAATTAATTATCGCACGGACGGCGCGAGGCGATGATTTCAATGGGCTCGCGCGCGCGGCGGCCGGTTTTTTTTTATATCGTTCGCGTCGGAAAATTTTTGGTTTTTTCCCCGCTTTTGTTTTTACTCATTAAACTACACTCGTGCCGGACGCCGGTCAGCCGCGCGAGAGTACGATTTACACGTCATGTGTACTGTATATATATATATTATCATCGTTATCGTTACAACGCCGACCACCGGCCTGATTCTTTATTCCGCCCGCGATTCGTACGATATTATCGTGTAAGTATATATGCGTGCGTGTGAAAACGATGCCGAACGCTTGTTTGCGCGGGGGTTCGAAACCGGCGCGTTTTCACTGTTTTTAATTCCCCGTAAATTCGCGCGCGCGCGTGTGTAAACAAACGCACAACGAGGATAATATTGTTATTATGTATATACAACGACAACAATACAACATTATATACTATTATAATGGCAATTACCTATGGGCTCTGCCTATATATCGTTATATTGTTGTTATACGCTGGCCATAAGACCGTAACCGGCCGATTTTCGAAATCTTCCATCGAATCCACCCGCTTTGTAGACCTCTACCGCCGCCGCGGCCAGTTAGCTAAACGGTTCCGCAGAGGCATCATCGCCGTAGTCGTCGTTTCTCTAGCTCATCATCATCATATCCGTCGGAAAAATGGCATAGGAGTATTCGGCGCAATAGGTGCGTAATATCACACGAAGCTCTCCGGTGGTATACCGATCGGCGTATTATAACCGACCAAGTCGAAACGAAATCCGCTGACGGGGGAGGGAACGAGAAGAAGAAGAAAAAAAAACCCGACTGATTGTATATGGAAACGTTTACATCCGACGCTATTGTTTGACGGTTCACTTGTCGCGACAATGTTTTTTCGCCGATTCACGCAAAGACAGCAATAATTATACATATATACCGGCTGTGGCGGAGGCGGATCACACACCCCGACGGCGGCGCCGCTCGTTAGCGGTATCAGTCATTAACCTTCCGTGCACTTCAGTCGTCGTAGCTCTCCGCGGCCATCACCTTAAGACTTGCATTAATATTGTATTGGTATCATAAAAGCGGTATATCACATAGAATATTATCAAGTCACCACTCACACACCGGGGCCAACGACATGCACCCGCGGTGGCTGCCACTGTGTCCTGTCGTCCTGTACCTGATCGCCGGAGCGACGGTCCTGCTGGCCGCCGACAACGTCACGACGTCCACTAAGCCGGTACAGGTGCGGTATATTATATAATAACATTAACAATGTGGTAGTACCATTAATAGTCGTAATAGAAATATTATAGGGTGTATGCCATGTACTTACAAAATTCAATTAGGACGATGGCTTTAAGGGGTCGAGAAGACTTATGTTTTCAATATTTAACTTCCGAAAGGTGTTTGAATTTCGCTCGTCTGTCGAATTTGGTTTTCTATCTATGTCGTGTGCCGGATAACACAAAAATATAAGTGTCGGCGAGTTTCGAGTTAAATTTCAATGGAATTATTTTATTTAGTCCATCTGAACAGATCAGACTTAGCATATCTCGAAAAGCTCTTTTACGTATTATTATGGTTATTTTTTTCCGTACCGTTAACAAACATAATATTATTATTTTATAATTTGTTTACATTAATCAGTGGTTAAATCTAATACCAAAATATTATTTAGTGATTTTATTCGAGGAAACAATGTTTAGAAAAAGAAGGACAAACAATTTTATTTTGAAAATATTTTACGAAATGTTTATGTTATATACCTATTTATTTTAAATCGTTGTAACCAATTTTACTTAGGGTCCTAGAGTAAGAAAAATTGTACAATATAAACTTACCTCACGAATGGTTTTATGCTGTCGACCACCAAGTGATTAAGAAATGAGAACTCTTAGTAATATTTTGGTTATTTTTTATTATTATAAAATATGTCTTCACCAGTAAGTTATGGTTATTAGCCTATAATATAAAGTTATAAATATGCTTAATATGCTATACCTATCCATACATCTTTTTAATAGATTTTTAGTTCCACATAATCTCCTTTCGTTGTTTTCTTCAACTTCTCTACTCATTCAATTTCATACATTATATATTCGCTTTGGCCTATAACCTAGTAAGTAGGGAAACTCTCAGACCAGTTTTTAGGCTTTTTATATTATTTATGTGTACCAAATTTTAATATTATCATGTAGGTATTCATATATTTATAGTTTTAATTGAATAAACGCTTTATATTATACTGTATTAAACAACTATCGTCTAATAATAATTATCTATACCAAATGTATTAGAACCAATTCATTTTCTTAGCATATTTGTTTATAGTTTTTCCTTGTGGGCAAATTACTCAAAAATCTGAAGATAATAGTTTAAATGTATCATCATACTATGGATAAAATGTCTGATCCTTAAAACCATACAATGTCACTAAAATTTGGTATTTATTGAAAACCAAAATCATTTTCTAACTAAAAAAAGTATTGTGTTCTTTGATTTAGTTAATTATTATTATATATACAAACGACGGACCTGCACTTGTATAAACTTAATTTCACTGCTTAATATTCTAATAACTAAGTGGTCTTGGTTAACCCTGTACACAAACATGTATTTTACGTTTTTTACGTATTTTATAAATTATATCTTATATCTAAGACATTTTCTACAATAACATAAAGGTTAAATTTTTTTTATCTTTGGTGTTATTCACTAGTGTTAGTATTCGACTTCCTTAACGTCTATTCTACATCCTAGATTTACGATTCATTATCAGAATTCAGAACACTTAACACGTGGATTAACGAATCCATACTGCCGTAAAACCATTGACAATGGCGAGAAACCATTCCATCATCGTGTACCGCATGAAAAATCTTTAGTTTTTTATGTTTTATGTTTTTCATCATCCTTTCTTCGTATTTTTATTTGTTCCATTGTTTTGTGTCATTCGAAATTGGAGCAAATACATTGGTTTAACGAGTTAATACCATTAATACCAATATGTCAAAGCATTGTATAATATATAACTATTATACCTATTAGTGTTACTGTAATGTAGTTCAACACGTTCGTTAATAAGAATCATAATCACCTTACACAAGGGGTCGGATCAGCAGTAAACGACCCGCCAAAATTTAAATAATCGGCTAAGTTTTTTTTTTTGTTCTTGTAACTACATAATATTATTTGAACCTAGTTTTCCAATTATATTTTACAAACACTTTTTCCCGGTAACTCGTCTGGAATGTTTGGGTATATTCATTGTGAATAGTTTAACGAATAAACCTAAGACGACGAAAGTGACATTACCATGATTACTGCATGCACGTAACATATTGCCTACTTCAATAATTCAGTTACCACGATGAAAAACGATTCGTTTTGTTCACAATCGAATGTCTATAATTTATTTATATGATAATGGATTACCAATTGTGGTATCGGTTTGATGTCGTTGAGTCCATTCTGAGAATTCTTGTTTTGATTTTAAAAACAAATGATTTATACTACTTTCACACATACACTATTTTATCGTGAAACTAATTAAATAGGTAAAAAAAATCCATCAGTCACTGAATTAATGTATAAACTATGCTTATACATACCTACCGAAACTGAACAATGACTTTCTCCAGCTATCTAAAATATTAAATACATTTTTTAATTCAATAAATCAAAAACAATTTTTAAAGTTGATATCTTACATATACTTATACAGTGAAACTTACATTTAATATTTTTCGTCATACATTAAGTAGCATCATTTTTTTTCGACAGGTCTCCTTGTTACGCCCTGTATAATATACTATGGTGTTTAAATGTAAAGCACTTAATTCACATTTAAGAATTATAAAATAAATATCTAATACAAAGGATATTAAATTAAAAATACAATTTAATCATTTGGAATAAGAGATAATACGATTTAATAAGTGCAGTTAAGTACCTAGGTAATTATTTTAAAATACACATTAAATGTTAACTACCTGTATAATAGTTTTAAAAGTAAACACTATTATAAGTTATATTATATACCTAATAAATAAATATAATTTTTCTATGAATAATTATCTGTTTGATTTTATAATTTGTGTTTTCTAATTGATACATAATAATATTTATATTTATACTTCCTACGAATATTAGGGACTTTAATGAATGTATTGGAATAATACTAATATTTCTTAAGATTTTACTTGGTAGAAAGAAACAATTCAAATTATAATATGTTATAATATTATGTATTTCATCTAATTTTTTGCGTGAAGTTAATTTTTTCTTTAATAACAAACAGAAAATATTGATTTATGTTGGAATATTGATCGCGCAAAAACTGCATTTTTTAGCTGATATCATAGAAAGAAATATACAATGCAGAATATTATAAACTAATTAGAAATTAGCAATGGTACTATTTTACGTAAGTAGTACATTTATTATAACAAATGCCACTTAATAACCTTTACCCCTCGGTATGTAACCAACAAAAATCTCCACGAAAACCTGAATCTACCAACCCTCAATGACCTGGCCAAATTTCATTGCAACAAATTCTATTCAAAGCTCCACTTGCATTCCAACCCATTAATAAAAAGACTATCCTTTGTCACTCACATAGCCAGAAGGTTGAAAAGGCAATGCCCTAGGGACCTGCTAAAAGCATACTAATATTAACCTAAATGCCATTGTAAAATTTGTCAACAGACTTACTTATTATACCATGTTTTATATAGATTGTAAATATATTGTTTTATAAAAAAAAAAATAACTAAAACAAAAGATAGTATATCTATGGGGTTAAATTGTATCTACTTTAAACTATCTATCTCTGAATTTAATATACCATAGTTAGCACAATCAATTATGCTGAGTTGTATATTTATCATAATTATTGTTTAATTAAATGACCGTTCGTATTTTATATCTAGGGCTAGGACGAGTGAGAGTGAGTTTTACGATATTATAGTGTTAATTTAATTACCAGAAATAATCAAATCAAATTACCATTTGATTTTATTATATTCCATATAATATTTATTTTGCAGGTTCCTTATTTTGTTGTACATTTATTATCATTAACATGAACAAAGCCAATACATTGAAGTATGAACTAATCATTGCATAACTTAATTACTTGGAAATTATAAATACTAAATATAATTTTTTTAATACCTAATATTGACTGACAGCCGACAGGTTAAATGTAAAATAAATAAATTGTATATTTTTAAACAGGTATGCAAAATTATAAAAACATTTAATACAAGTAAAATACATTCAAATCATATTAGAAAAGTTATGATAATATTATGTAGGTAATATAGTTATAAAAACTTAGTGAGAAAATGTTCATCAAAACACATTACCTTTTCTATGAGTTTAGTTTTTACGAAACTCGTATTCAATTTACACATTTTTTACAATCGAATCGTAGAGAGTACTTAACTATATTAATATCATGTTCCAGTGAAAACTATAATATTTCAACTCATTTGACGTATGCGTATAATTCAATGTGTGTAATATAATATGCGTATATGTTTTTGTTACCAATATTGTACATACTATATGAACTCGTATGGCGTATCACGTATGTATATATTATTATAGTTCTCAAATCACGTGAAATCGTCTAAATAAAACGTATTTTAATTTTATTAAAAAAAAAAAAAAACGAGTAGTCGTAGTAATAATAATAAAATAAATAAACAAACCGAATGATGGTTTTCCCTTTTCGTACACGAAACATTGTATAGTAGATATAGATACTTACTTGTATAACACACGAATACATTGTTATTATCATTACGATGACCTGCATATTGATGATACGGTTATTAGTGTCGGATCAGACGTGCTCTACATCTGCGGCATAACCTTCTACACACTGCAAAAACACATACACACACACACAACAGATAATATTCCCACCAGCTTAACACGCATACCACACAAGATGCGTTTCACGTGAAGACAATATAATATATTATATACCTAAGTATGATATGATATTATTATGTGATATATCTTATCTATATATAGGTTTAGGGCAATACAAATTCGTGTACACCTATGATTATACCCTAGTCATGTGCCTACGACATGTATAAATACCTATGTTTATAGCTGCCAGGGTAACGAGCACTTTTCACTGTCGCCGACGATCGATGAAATACTCATTTTCTCCACGTGAAATCTAACCATAGCACACAATATATATTATATTAATGTACGGTTTGAGTTTAAAAAATATGCCTAGCAACTGTGCAAATAAATTGAATTGTGAGCACTGCTGTGGATCGCAGAATTATGACGTATCGCATGCACCATATTATTATTAATAGATACATATCATACGGAATTCTATTCGAAAAAATATCTGTTTTAGAAGATATATCCAAACAACCAAACGATGTTTGAATTTCGAATACCTATATAGTTTTATATTATATTACGAGGGTAGGTACAGTTTACGCGAGGGACTTGCTGAGTTTGTAAGGCGACGAATGCTATTATTCACTCTTTTTTCGATTCCTCGACACTCTTGATACTTAGCCATCTAGTGGGATTAAGATCATTGATTTCGTCATTGTATGCATTCAACCCAATATAATATAAAATGTTGATGATATAATTACAAACAGTATTCAAGAGTTAATATTTTTATAAAAAAACAATGTTGGTACCTATCTTATGTCGAAGAGAGTAACATTTAGTGTAGTAGAAATCACACATTTTGTCACCTCCCCATGTAATGAAATATCATAAGACACTACACAAAACTAAGATAGTGTCATGTGGACTCAAAAATATGTAAACTTAACAAGCGAAAAATGTGTTGGGCTGTTGCAGGAAGGTCTGCAGGTGCGATGCTCGAACAACTACACGATGACTTGCGTCAAGAGGGACGTGCTCTTGTTTCTGGACTCGATGGACGGCGAACGGAGCTACGAGCTCTATCCGGGATTCACGTTGTTCCAGAGGCGCAGCTCTTCAGCTGGAATGCTGCCGAGCAACGAGTCGCTGGACGCTGCCAACTCCAGCCAGCTAGACCACATGATCGCCAAACGGCTCAACGATTACGTGGAGAGCATCGATCTGCGGGTCAGACTCCTCAATCCGATCAACGCGACGGCCCGATCGGTTGGTAACAGCATGCTCGAACGGATTTTGCCGTTTCTCAGAATGAGTATGACCAAACGCATAATGTTATTATTTACTGTCAAGTCTTTGCATTACTTACTGCCCAAACTGTTGAAAAAACTAAGAATCTAAGTACACAAAACTGCACACACGCAGCACACTATACAGAAACCCCACACCTACGTCATGACCTTGTAGATTTCTTAGGAAATGTCTAAGCTGGAGACGATAAATCGACGTCCTCTTAAAATACACATATGAAAAAATAGTTGTTTTATAATAAGTGATTTAAAACTAAATTATGCAAATACATGGAAGTTTAAGCTTTTAGTTTTCGCTCAGTAATTTTCTCTTTGCAGAGGCCAAATGGTCCTAGGGACACAACAATATCATAATAATAATATATATATTAATATAATAGTTATATAATATAATATATACTATATACTTAATATAACACCCACTATGATAATACGCATTTTATTAAACTTTTTGTAAATATTGCTAAACGTCTAATTAATATTCTATAATATTATAACATTGTATACTGTCAGGTCGGCAGTATTATTATTCCACTCATTTAGCGCAAAAACATATAACGTCCGAGGGGATATTCGATTGTCAATAAAATATCAACTAATCAACGTTATAACCGATTATTAAAACATGATTGTCTGAAGTAGTTCTCTATTACCCATATTGATTTTGTCCGCGATAATTGGTATACATTTGTAGGTAGTAAGTATTATATTGTACACGAGAGGTGAAAGTCGTCTGAATTGTTCGACCGACGCGTATATATATTATATTATATAGGCCCGTCAACAATAACGAAATGTAATTATTATTTTGGAAACAAATTAAACGCGGTACACGGCAATTATATTATCCGTCAAATGGTTTATTAGGTACGTCTGTTGTGGAGTAAAAAAAAAATTAAAATTGAAATCGGCCGGCGTGACGCCACTGCAGGGACACGCATCAGCAACGTGTCGTACCGTTTCTAGATATTACCTATATACGCCATCACATATAGATCGAACCAAACACTGAGTGTAAAAAAAAATCTTTATACAAATTTTTGAAGGTGCTATTCTCTAAATTGGATTTCAAAATTCTAAAGGGAAGATACGACGTGTTCATGTAGTTTATCTGTTTTTTAGATTCTGAGCCGAGGGATGTTTTTTTTTTAATTAAAACGATTCATCGATTCGACGCGTCGGGTAAAATTTCAAATACACAGTTGTTCGCTTCACCTGAGCCGGGCCAGGCAAACGATCATACACATTACCTCATAATAAGTTTGGAAACCACTGTTTTGCGAGAGTTTAATTATAACAGTTTTAGATTCTGTTTAAGTTTTGACATGATGTGTATTGTTGGCAGTGATCGGCAATTATCTTCTTAGCCTATACTTCCCGGTAGCTCAGTGGTATTTTTTTGATACTTTTCCATAATATAATACATAATGCAGCTTAAGGACAACTTTCGATCGTCGTTAGTTTCAGTTTACAACACTCCAGTTGTTCGTATAATCCGGGGTTTTTGTTTATACATATTTAAAAAGTATCAATACGCTCGCAGAAAGGTGTGATTATAACTTACCAAATAATCGTCTATGATAGGATCACAGTTTTGGGTTTTCTGTGGGTATTTTGAGTTCCTAATCCGAAACATTTAAAACCGTTACCAAGCGGATCTTTCATATTATTTTGTTTTTGTTTTTTTTTTTTTTCGGAAAACTGAAAGGTAGAAAAAAGAAAGACTACCACGGCCTGTACTGGGCGGCTGGCACGATGGCTGCCGTCGGGACCAGCGCCCTGATGGCGCTGTCCAGCAAGGCCTTGATGACGGCGGGCGCGGCGCTGGCCCTGGCAATCTACAGCTGCATGAAGGGCGGTGGCGGTGGCAAGGGCGGCGGCAGTCACCTGACGGCCACTCTGATGGAGGAGAGCACACTGGTGCCACACCGGCAGTGCGCCGAGGCGGTGGTGGATATCTCTGGCTTGCACAACTATCCGGTGGACGTGGAACGGTATCCTGGGTCCCGGAAAACAGTAGACATCGTGTCGCCCGCCATGCCCGTCTACAGGATCCATCAGACATCCGAAGACTACTCGTCGTCGTACGGCTCGTCTCAGCCCCAGTCCCAGGCCCAGTACCCGTAGCTCCTTAGCACTGCTATAGGAAGTGGTGGTAGTGGTGACATGTACGACTAAGACGGCAACTCGATGTCCTAAATATGTTTTAAAATGCACGAAAAAAATGTTTAAAAAATAATTCAATACACCTACGGGACCTGATATAATATAATACATTTAATTAAAATATGAAATGTTGTTTCATAATATAAATTCTAAAAATCAAGAAATTGAATAAAACATGATTAACAGGCTTTCCCCGTCAGTTAAAAAAAATATAATTTTCTAACTAAAATGCTCTTAAACGCGAACTATTTGAAGATTTAATATTATTTTTATTTAAAATTTTTTTTTAGACACATTAAAGGTAAAGGTTATTGCAATTTATGCGAAAATTTAAGATTTAAACGGATATGTCCCACCCGTATACTACGACTACTCAACTCTGAATTTTAAAAACTATAATGATAAAATATAATTTATTATATTTATATTTATTTTTTCCTATTACAACTAGGTATTTTATAACTAACAAAAACACTATTAATTATCTTACAATAATTGCAATCTAGCAAGTAGCTATCCGATTTATCTTTTGCTATGAAGCATGTAAAATAATATTATGAGTGTGCACTGAGCATGTTTGCATTTGTTTGAATAATATATCAATATTTAGGAGATAAGGAAAATTAACAGTTTTTTATAGGAAATAAATAGAAAAAATTCTTTTGTCATTTCAATATTATAGAAATCTAGTCAGCGTGTGACTATACTTTGTTAATAATTTAATTGATTTCTAAAAAAAAATGAAATTGAAATATAGTCCTGTACCTATAAAAATTTGTTCAAAACCAAGAAATATAAAAAAATTACAATAAGTCATAACGTTGACGTAAACTTAAAAAAAAATGTATCATTATAGTGTTCTCCACCATTCCATAAAATATAAAATGTCTGTAAAGTTGCGCAACATGCATTAGAGTGAAACAAAAAAAAAAAAAAAAGTCACTTACGTAATCGATAATATAGTTCCTACCTATACCGGTATTACCATAATTAAGTATATTTTTTGATTTATAATGTTTTAATATTTTAATTACTAAGTCCACAACGTGATTAAAATAAGATAATTATGTAAGGCTAATGTTGTATTGGTGAACTCTTTACGAAAATCTGGTGTTAGTGCAATATTTTAATATTTTTTTATAATAATAGTTTAATATAGTAATATAATACATAGGAGCAAGGTGATTGATAGGTGCAGTATACCATTATTAACGAATAACATTTTTTTGTACTCGGTAAATCATTTATTTTTAAAAATTGTATTTTCTTTTCTACACGTGTTTGAATTTAAAAAATGGGACATTATTGTGTATTGTTTTGAATTATATGGCAACAGCTTATTAATATTTATTGTTTAATTAAATATAATTAAATTATAATAATCTGTAACAATATTTTTATTATAAATGTTTTAATCAATTGCAGTGTCAGCATACATCTTAATGTTTTTACAACTTTATGTATTACGTTATTACATAGATAGACCGTGGTTGTTATAGTTATAATTTTATACATTATTATTTATCAGATATTAAAAGATTGTAATTTGATTATAAACTGTCTCATTTAGTCATAGTGGTTTTCTAGGACAGCGTTTCCCAAACTATTCCTCCGCCAGACCCCTTAGAGTATTGTAACAACGGCGTTGTTTTAAATAATTATTATGGTGGAGTCCGTAATAAAAATAACAATAATAATTAATAACGATTCGCGGACGCCCTTCGGCATACATGCTGACCCCTACCACAAACCCTACCCGTGAGTCCTCGGACCACAGTCTGGAAAACGCTGTTCTAGGCAGATGTCCTGTGGTAAGACATCTTACTTTTTGGTATTTTCTTATCTTAGCTGCAGCCCAAAACTGGTAAGCAGCTTAGTTAGTGAGTAGAAGCTGGAAAAATAACTACTCCGAATATTAACAAGGATATGTCAAGCATTTACATCATACTACATAGGTATTCAGAGAAAGTTCTCAAACTGTCTTGAGAGTAAAATAAAATTAACCGAAATGTACTTAACTTTTTTTTTGATAATGCTAGGAGAGTTTATTTGAACCATACATTACGTCATCGTGGATATTATAATAATTGATTTTAGACTTATATTTTCAAGCATTTTTTAAAAATAATTATAAAGTGGCCAAAGATATTTCAAAGTTTTTTCCATTAGTCTTCCATAAAATAATTCCAACTTTTTGAAAACTTAGTTTTAGTATGTGAATATAATCTAAAAATAATACAATTATTGTTAATTACAAAATTAAATCTGTTATACGCTCATATGAAAGCTATGATCAGATTTTTATGAATTTTAGAAAATATACTTCTTGATTCTAATACATAGTAATATTAATTTGATGTTTAAGTCCTGAAAATAAATCAATTTAAATTTATTTCTACAATTCACAAAGGATTATTATGTTTTTCAATGACTACAACCATAATAATATTACAAGATTTATTTTCTCAAACAAATTAACATGTATAACTCAATTTAAAAACATTGTTGTGGTTACTCTTCTGTAGATAAATAATATTATTTTGTCAGCTAATAAACTTAGGAATTGAATATGCACCATGAGTACAAAAATAATAATAATAATAATTTAATATTTTGCTAATACTGTGCTGCATTATATCTTGCATGTAGATGCCTACCTATAATAATATTATAAGGAAATTTGGAGTCAAAGACTGAGCCTCCAGCGTGTAATGTAAAAATTATAGTCAATGTGTCAAACACATTTTCTTCATCCACTGTTCAAATTTCAAGAGGTCAGAAACGATTTCCTCATTATATTAAAGAATACTTTGTATGAAACAATCAGGATTCGGTATTTTCGGATGTGAAAAAATTAAAATCATATAAATAAGTAGACTAGGTAGTAGGTACAATTATTTTGTTAATAATAGTTAAATACCAGTATAAATAGTTTTCACATGCATGTGGTGGGAAATGTTTATCGCCCCTTAAAGTGTCTTTGATGCAGCAGAAAATACATAAATGATCAAACTGTTGATGTCTTATGTTTACTTGTTCAAAACAACAATTATATTTATCTATGCTGTGTACCTACTAATATTTCTTTAATTATCTATTATTATCCATAGTTAATATTGTCATTAAGATTTAAAAAAAAACGTATGATAGTTTATTGTCTGTGATACGAACTTCCTAAAAATAAATCAACATTTTTAGTTTTTTACGTTGTCGACAAAATATGTAAATGGTGAGTATAATACAGACTAGTAAATTGTTGTTAATTGCTATAAATCTTATAACAAATTTACTATATTATAATAGTGATGTTTAAATGTATAAACTTAAACATTTTAGATGAATATTGAGAACAAATCGTATCGCATTTATTTCTGTAAAGGTTCATTCTTCATTTAATAAATTATATTTGTCATTAATTATTGACATGATATATAGAAAGGCGGAAACGTATTACAGTTGAGTCCAATCGATCCAAATTTACAAGTCATGATTCAGTTTGAAAAAATAACCCAACTGACTCCGAAAAATATTTTCCCTTCCCATTTTACAGACATAGGAGTTAATAGGTACTGTAATATTAGGTACATAATATTATGTGAAAATATATCACTACAGAGTATCGGAGATCGACTATACCGCTGACTGTTGATTCAAAAAAAAATCATAAAAACCTACTTATTTTGTATCGTTATATTAATAAATGACATACCTATTATACAGAAGGTAGCAATAGGAAAACCAAATATCAACAAGCTGTTGTGTGTAATTTAGACATATTATTTTACAGAATTCAGCCATAAATATAATTATAATTCTGGGACTGAAATATATAACTCTCAAGGGTATGAATGTAGCAAACGTATTTCTTCGTAGTAGTTAAACCAAAACTATAAGTTATTATATCCTAACTACTAACTTAACTTTAAGAATCGTATTAAAAAAAATGTATAGTTTCAATAATATATGACCATTATTTTAAAAAGGTATCACGTTTTGATTTTTTGACAACATCCCAAATATAATTCTGAAGTCTATAATAAAGGTACCTGTGGGCTTTATTAATTTTATTGATTTTGTGGCAAATTTTACAGACAATACTATCATAGTTATTATGATATCATGTGGTTATAAATATCTTTTAAATATCTTTTAAATCTTTAATATTGTTTTATGATTGATTAATTAAAATAACAAAATACCCCAAACAACAAAATTAAGAATTTTTTAGTGATCTTAAAATGTGTAAGGCAAACATTGAAACATCCACCAAAAAAAAGTGATAATTATACTGTATACCTCACATAATATTTTAATAATATATTATAACATCCTCTCGTAAATACCCAATTGTTTGAAACCATCAGCTCATCAGCTAGAGTTGATCTTTTCGCGAAAATAATATTGCATTTTTAAAAATCGAAATGTGGTTTATTTCTCAAATTTAATAATGTTTGTCTTTTGTTTCATAAGGAGGATAACAATTATTACGAATAATGAACAAAGTAGAGCGAGAATTTGTAATTATTGTGAGAATAACACATATTATTGTACAGTTCCTCCTCAGCGCCTCGAACTAGGTACAATAAAAATATATACTTCCGCGATTCGAATTCGTATAAGAACAATATCTCAATGAAATGTGATACAGATTGACAGGCTGTTTCCGTAACAGTTGGATATGAATCGGGTGTTGGAGTTCGTTCTCCGTCTGTGGTATTGAAACGTCCGATATTAATACCATTGTTATTTTTCTGAAAATATTAATTACGCCTACGCGTGGTGCGTGAAATCGAGATCAGGAGATCAGTAAAAAAAAAAAAAATGATAATGCAATATTAAAGATTATAATATTGCGTATTATGGACAAACGTCAATTGCACCCAATAAATTTCAGGTATAAATGTCTTAAGTCCATGTAGTAAATTGTACTCAATACATTTCAGAAATATTCTATACGTGTG